AAGTTCTTATAAGTGATAATTGTCTACTTACACTATTAATGGCTCCGAAAAGAACAAAGTTGACAAAATTACATTTCAAACGAGTAAANAAAAAAAATGCGTTGTCATTTAAAAAAAAATTATGTCATTGCTGCCGTAAGTGGATTATCGAAAAAAAATTTTTTTCACTTAACAAGGTGCCCTGAATCAAATAAAACTCGACGGGTCTCACCGTTTTTCGAAAAAAAAATTGTTTAACGAAAATATGAATTTTATGCAGAACTTTTTTACCACGCTGTATACTACCATGTGCTTAAAACTTACAAAAAACGATATAAAAGAATATTCCTAAATTTAAATAAAGCAAAAATTTAACTTTAGCAGGTGGATAGGTATAGGGGTGGCTCCATTTCATGGCCACCTTGATCTCTAGACCTAAATCCTCTAGATTACTTTAGGATGCCAAACGCGTTTTTGTTCTTCACAACCCGCTATGATAGAAAATATTGACAATTTCGATTCCCGGTGATTATCACATGTAACATTATTTTTAAACGGATTTTACACAAAAATGGAACATTCTACCAATATGGACCAAGAGTACCTTTTTTTACTAGAAAACTCATAAAATTTCATACTTTTCAGTAAAATGTCAAAAAAGTCAAAGCATAAAAAAGTTCTTGTAAATTTTACCCCCCTCCCCCTAGTGTTGGAACGTATGTGATGAAAATTTGTAAATTTCGTGTCAGTAAAGGACTNAAAAAAAAATGCGTTGTCATTTAAAAAAAAATTATGTCATTGCTGCCGTAAGTGGATTATCGAAAAAAAATTTTTTTCACTTAACAAGGTGCCCTGAATCAAATAAAACTCGACGGGTCTCACCGTTTTTCGAAAAAAAAATTGTTTAACGAAAATATGAATTTTATGCAGAACTTTTTTACCACGCTGTATACTACCATGTGCTTAAAACTTACAAAAAACGATATAAAAGAATATTCCTAAATTTAAATAAAGCAAAAATTTAACTTTAGCAGGTGGATAGGTATAGGGGTGGCTCCATTTCATGGCCACCTTGATCTCTAGACCTAAATCCTCTAGATTACTTTAGGATGCCAAACGCGTTTTTGTTCTTCACAACCCGCTATGATAGAAAATATTGACAATTTCGATTCCCGGTGATTATCACATGTAACATTATTTTTAAACGGATTTTACACAAAAATGGAACATTCCACCAATATGGACCAAGAGTACCTTTTCTTATTAAAAAACTCTGAAATTTCATACTTTTCAGTAAAATGTCAAAAAAGTCAAAGCATAAAAAAGTTCTTGTAAATTTTACCCCCCTCCCCCTAGTGTTGGAACGTATGTGATGAAAATTTGTAAATTTCGTGTCAGTAAAGGACTGGGCAAGTCAGAGTTAAGCAATTTACCATATTTCATAAATTTATCTCAACTTGTTTTGGAGTTATTTAGAAAAAAACATCATCAAAGTGGCCCCTTTAAGTGGCTATAACTTCCTTATGAAGAATTGTTGGACCTACGTTTATATAAAGAAAAAGTAATCTTTTTCGACATAGAACACCCTGTTGAAATATTGCCCCCTAATTCGGGACACCTTGTATAGATTATACAAGGTGTAGAAAAAAAGTTGAAATAAATATAGGTCGTAGAACGCTTCTTTTCGAGATATAGTGTGTTGAAATTTAAAAAATCACATTTATTTAAATATCTCTTAAAATGTTTGATGTAGATTGGTGAAACTAGGGGCAATAGCTTTACTAACTAGGGAAAAATTCGCGGGTATAAATCTGTCGACCAGTGATCGAAATGTTGGGAGATACCTACCGTTTCTATGAACCAGAAAATTGGTAAAATCTATTTAATTTCGGTCGGCGATTTGAAGAATTTTTCATTTGAAATTTGAAATAAGTTTACCACCTGACTAAACTGAAAGTAACCCCAAAATTATCCAATTCGCAAAAAGTTACGAAATATTATTAAGTGACGTCGAAATTCTGAATTCTTAGTGGTCGAGAGATTTGTGTATAAATTCAGAAATTATTTGTCGATAATTAATTAAGTTATTACACCAGTCATCAATCAACGTCAAAAATTTTAAGAGATATTTAAGTAGATCTAATAAGGGGTACCTATTCAATTTTTTTTTTAATTTTAAAAATAAAACATAATTTATTCGAAATAACTATCTTTATATATATATCTTTATTGAATATATATTAAAGTAGACATGTTGCGGTTAATAATGGAAAAAATTGTCAGAAATGTGATCATCTCTTGTTGCTCTACAAGCCTTCAATCTTTTAGCAAAATTTTCCTTTGCGTATTCACATAATAGTGGTTCAATTTGAGTGATTTGCTCAATTATGTTTTCCCTCAGATGTTGAATGGTTTGAGGATTGTCAGTATAGACTTTGCTTTTCAAAAAAACCCATAAGAAGTCTAGATCACATGATCTTGGTGGCCAATTAACTTCTCTTCTTAGAGAAATGATTCGATTACCACATTTCTAAAAGATCAATTGTTTCCGTTATTTATGACATGTTGCACCGTCCTGTTGAAACCATATAATCTGCACAGTGCACATTAATACGCTCCAATTCATCCCATAAAAAGTTATTAATCATCGTTCGATATCGAGCACCATTCACAGTAACAACGTTTCCAGCTTCATTTTCGAATTACTCCACCAGACCAAAAACCACAGCAAACAGTCACTTTTTATTAATGCATTAGTTGTTCAAATATTACTCGTGGGGTTTCTTCACCCCAGATATGACAACTTTGTTTGTTTAAGTATCCACCAATTTCAAATTGAGCTTGATCATTAAAAATTATAATTAATCTTCTTTCACTGCAAGAACCCAATTTATAAATGTACGATGCAATCCATGATCAGTTGACAATCATTCTTGTGTTAACTGTATTTTATAACCCTTTAAATGAAGATCCTAATGCAAAATATTGAATAAACTGGTTTGGTTAATGTCTAGTTGCTGTGAACGATGACGAATTGATGTGTTTGGTTCTGCACTGATACTATCATTAGTATGTCCCTTCAAAATTATTCACAATATTTCGAATGGTGTTGTTTGTTGGACAATTTGTTTTTCCGTATTTTGTGCGATATTTTCTTTCAACTTCTGCATAACTCTCACCAAATCTAAAATAATTTTTAACAATAAATACGCGTTGTTCAATCCTACACTTCTCCATATTTATTAACCGCCATGTTTCTACTTAACAGCTGTCAAAAAACCAAAACCATTCTAGTACAAAAAAACACAAATGGCGGCAAATTGAATAATGGCCTGTTTCAGGATAGGGCAAAATCATATACAGTCAAATAAATATTCCACCACCTAAAAAGCCTCTAACTTAAACTTGTAATATTTCCTAAATATGTATATCATGTATCTAAAGGTGAACGAAAATATTTATAATTATGTCAAATCAGATTTTTATAGTTTAGGTTACTTTAATGAAAATGAAAGCCATATTATAAATTACATTGTAGTAAAGATTTTTTTTAAGAAAAAGTTGACCAATCGTGCGTGTACTGTCTCTGATTTCTTCGATTGTAAAAGATTTTGAAAACTGCCGATATTACGGTTAATGAAAATAATTTTAGCGGTTTTAATAACCTTATTCCGTGCGTCACATAATATGAATGGACGCACAACGCTTTGTTTTTATTTTTTGTTTGTACACTGTAACGGTCTGATGTTACAGTCAATATCATTCTATTTACTATAAAAGATGTTCAATTGTCTCAGTTACATCATCGAAACTTCCTGATTTCAGATTCTGAACATATAGTTGTTACGATTTCAATTGGAACTGCATAAAAACATTTAACTCATAAATTCTACGGAATCCATAGACGTCCAAAAAAATTTAGCCCTGTCTCGTCTAAATTTACTATATTCCGAGCTATATTACCATATAGTTACCATACGATTGTCAAATTTTTTTGTTTAAAATCGCATTGTAATAAAGCATGTCGTAAAATATCTAAAGATTTATAATTATAATCAGGATAATCGCTTAATTTATCTCGAATCATGTTTAAAGTAAGAACTTTATTTCTTTATACATAATTATAAATTGTGCGCCGCATTATATCTGGTAAAATCGTAAATTTTCTTTAATTTTATATTTTTCCGTTTCCTCTTTGTAGCGTGACCAATTCTTCTTTAATTACGCGATAAATTGTCGCTTTTGATATCTTAGTTAGTTCGTTAATACGTTTCCTAACTTTTTTATCACATTATTCACTATTTTAAAATTTCAAACATTCTAATATTTTTAATATAATACGTTGACTTTTTACGTGTAAATCTTTGTTTTTAAACTCTGAGTTTGTTTCGATACTTTCTACCGGTTCCACTATTTGGGAATTTTCCCGAGTTATTTCTTTATCCTCCGCTTCAAAGAGTCTCCAGAGAGCCACGCTAAATTACTAGATAATTACATATAACATTTATTTTAAGGACTATTACCCTTTATTGGTTACGATATGAACGAATAATAATATCAACTAATAAATAATAATACGTATTATACGAAAAACATACCCCGCCAAGCAATGCTCTGCACTGCACTGGCAAAGCGGCAAAGCGGCAAAGCTAAGTGAACCCGTGTACCATACAAAAATTATTTACGACCTAGTGGACCAATACAGGTTTGCTTTGATGACCAGCGCGCCGCCGTCAATTCCACATCAGGCGAACTAGTTTACCAATACCGGACTCGCCGAATTGCTATTCGAGTATAAATTACGAGACACATCATGGTCAAAGCGTACGAAGAAATTTCAGGAGAAGCATACAGTCCTGTGCTTTAAGATTTACAGGTTCCAATTGACATCGTAACAACTATACCAGCAGTTAATGTTTTTATACCCTTATTTGTATGTTACAACTAATGCCTTTTTAAGTTGTTATAAGTCCAGATATCTACAGTTCAACTCAGAAAGTGACTAATACATTCAATTTCAGGCTGCGTAGACGAGCTGCAATCTCGAGCCCTGTCCCCGCGGATCTGCGACGGAGTTGTCGACTGTCAAGACATCTCCGACGAGAAAACCTGCACCTACTGCCCCAAAAACCAACTGCATTGTGGCATTGGCCGCGCGTGCATCCCTAGATCCGGTAGGTGCGATGGCCGCCTTGATTGTCCGGATGGGAGTGACGAGAGAGCGTGCCGTAAGTTGATCCTATTGTCTTTTGTCTGACAAGTAGAGTTTCGAGCTCGACGGCTTCCAAGAATGATGTCGGGATCATAAAAAGGCATTTAATTAGACGCGGAATGCTTAAGCGGACCACATACGTCCATGCATGTCTTATGATTTATCCGGAATAACACATTTTTCAAAAATACAATGATATGATTTCGAATACTAAAATAAAATTACTTTGTTCATTATTTTTATATTATATGCTTCATTATACTCGATATCGTCTTCAAAAGCCTGGTTTGCTACACAGAACAAACGCTGCTTACTTTTAAGCATATGCTTTCTGAAGTTGCACTTAAACCATATAGTCTGCTGTTTTTCCATCTTTAGTAATACAGTTTTTCACTATGCGAAGCTCATTCTCCGATACATCCACATAAGAGAATCTATTAAATATTTGCATCCAACGTCTAATTAATTTTAATACATATTTTACACTAGTAATGTTTCATTTATTACCGAAGCTGCAGAAAAAATTAGAACTCGTATTATTACAATGCAAAGATGCAAAATAGTAAGCAAAAAGTCTCATAAATAAATCAAACCACAATTTTTGCAAGTTCTTAATCGGATATATTTTTTTTATTTTCACTGTAATGTAGCGTTCATTTGGCATAATGTGTTGATAATATATTCAGCCTTGGTACGTTCTGTTATCACAAAAAGATACGATCAGCGTTGCATAATTACATTTTCGATTTGTCAGTTTCCAGCTTAGGCGTTTCTTTTCATGTCATAAGCGTGCAACTTTCTTTTCAAATTTTATTATTATTTCAGTGTTTTTTAAATGTGGAATCGCGTGAGAGTGTTAGTGGGAAATTCATTAAATCAGGGTAGTCATAAAAGAGCGAATCAAGAATACTGCATGATAAACAATGTTGCAATTCTTTAATCAGGTAGCTTCAAATATATGGAACAAGTGCATGTATGTATAAATTAAAAAAAGGCATAAAATCCCTAGATATCATATAAATTTCCCGATTACCCTAGTTTTACAAATTTTGAATATTTTCCACCTAGAATTAGGGAAAAATTCCCGAATCTGGCATCAGTAGTGAAAAATATGGAGAAAGGTTAAAGACCCATCAAGATGTGAAGTGAAATGAAACTAGCCTTTCGTTTTATTTAAATTTCATTTCAAATAACATATAAGGACGTATAAGAATCTAGAACAGTTGAAACAAATTCAGTGCTAAGACATATGATTTAGACTCGATGGATAGAGGGAATGATACCCGTAATCAAATCTATGGACGTAGGTTAATATCGTCGATAGAATGGTGTGACGTCCCAACCAATGATACATCATTTTGTTACACTTTCACTTTCCATATAGTCTTTGCATTACTTTAAATCTATTACCAATTTTTATATTGAACTAAAATTTCAAGCAAATTTCCTATTGAAATAGCTTTTCTTTGTCAACTAGATACTTTAGAGCAGTGATTCTGAAAGTCATTTCATTGAAAAAGCCTTCTTACCATCAATAATTAAAAAGTAAACATAATTTTTGAAAATTCTTCCTTCTTGTCAGAAAGAATCAGAAAGAAGAAAAGAATCAGAATTTGTTATGAGAATGAATGGTTTCCACCTTGTTTTATTCTAAAAGAAATCGTTTTTTTTATCGTAGTATGGTTTCCACCTTGTTTTAATCTAAAAGAAATCGTTTTTTTTTATCGTAGTGAGTCTCTCCCAAAGCGTGGCAAGCATGAAGAAAATGGAGGTCGTGACGCCACACCTGGCGAAGTACAGTTCCGAAGGATACGTCGTCTTCAATGAAAAAGGTGAAGTCGGGAAGCTATGCACAGAGAATATCAACCAGAGTTTGCCTGTCAATCAGACGGCTGCAGTGCTACATTCTGTTGCGTCGTCGTTGTGTAAAACTTTGACCTACCAGTAAGTTGATACAAGCACTAAGTGGTTTCAGTACCATTAATGGCATTGCTCTTTTCTAGGAAAGTTCTGTCAGTCGGTGTAGAAATCGATACGGAGAGCAACGTTTCGTACGTGAAGATGAAGGATCCTACCGCTCCAGAAATCAACTTCATACGGGCGCTATGTCCTTCAAAACAAGTGCTAAAGGTGTCATGTTCAGATTTAGGTATGTAAGACTAGAATTTTCCAAAAATAGGTCAAAATAAATCCAATATTCTTTTTATTTAATTCTATTCAGATTGTGGCATTCAAAGTACTCATGGACCGTCTGGATTTGACACTCTTTCCAAGATGGCGGTCCACGGAGATTGGCCTTGGCACGTAGCCCTGTTCAAGGAGGATGTCCACATCTGTGACGGTACCTTGATTTCTCCAGAATGGGTGGCTACGACCACATCCTGTTTCCAAGGGCAACCCAAAGCCGAGTGGACTGCTAAATTTGGATCTATCCGTCTATCGAGGTAAATAATTTAGGTAGAAACAGGATGCGGCGTTCATAGTTTCCCAGGAATATGCGTGGTAAGAGCAATACGACCACCGCGCGACTCCGTGCTTTGTATATGTAATTCCCGCAGGCGCAAGAAGCCGATGCTCCTTACTTATGATATCATGTGTGCAATATAATATTATATGATTTTTACTCTATTTATCATCAGGATTTTATACACTATAAACGCCACATAGATCAGTAATGATCATTCTGCAGTACAAAACAAGTAGGTTAGGGATTAACTACCATCATCACACTATGATTTCCATTATCTCTTTCAGTTTAACCCCATGGGAGCAGGACAGGAGGATCGTGGGTATGGTAAAATCCCCAGTAGAAGGCAGCACCATAGCCTTGGTAAAACTGGACCAGCCAGCCACCCTGAACGACTTCGTGAGACCCATTTGCCTTCCGAAGCAGAACATGTTGATCAACCCAAAGGAGAGCCAATGCAACACTCTGGGATGGGCGAGGAACAGGGAGCAGTTACAGAGGGTGCAGGTGAAGGTTATGGAGATGGAAAAGTGCGAAAATATAAGCATTTCCACCGTGAACAGTCTTTGTACCGAGACCATTTATGGACAAAATGACTGTAACGTGAGTAGCATTCAAATATCGACCAAATCAAGACATACAAATGTGTGTAACATTTTTAGGAAGAAGAGTTCGCGGGAAGCTCGATGATGTGCCAAGAAAAAAGCGGCAAGTGGACACTGGTCGGCATAACGAACTGGCGGATAGCTTGTTCCAAAAAGGGAACCGAAAGGCCGAGGATGTACGACAAGATCGCATCGAATGTGAACTGGATTCGGGAAAGTATTACCTCTACGGACACTACTTGAAAGATTGAGTTTTAGAATGTAGTTTTGTGCCAAACAAGTGTTGCTTTAGAAAGGAATGACGAAACTGGACAGTACATACTATATAGGTATCTATTCCTTATAGTATAAATGTGTGACTGTATTATAAATGTAATATATTTGTAAAGTGTGATTTGTACAATATGGACTCTATTTCTTGACGTATAGTTTGTAGTAGTGATATGATTACATTAAAATGAATCCAGATAACTATTAGGTGCGACAGATGAGTATTTACTTATTTATTTTTCTCGTTTGAAAGCTAAGGACATTCGATACTGACTACCGCATTTCATTTTAAGGAAAATATTTTTTGTTATGATTGTAATATATATATAATTCTGTTTTAATAAAGATTGTTTTATTAAATTCGTTTTTTTAAGAAACCCTCTCATAATAGCCTGGCAACTAATCAGTGGTAAAAATTTCACTTTTCGCCATTATGACACAAAGCGGCATGGAAACAGTAGATATATTTGGCAATAACAGAAAAAACTCTATTTTTTTCGTCAGTAGCGAACAAAAAACATTTCATTTTCAGTAGGAAATATTAATAGACCCTTTTAGTAGTGACGTCACATACGCCAAATAATAGGCAACCTCATTGTCATGAAGAATTTCTAGGTATTTTTGCTAGATCGATTTTCGACCTTATGTACTTTGGACATAAGTGCCAAGAAAAATATCTTCTTTGTCATGATCAATATTAGACATATTTAAGAAGTTTCAAACCCCAAGTGACAAACTAAAAGAATTATAGAATTTATATTTTTAAATTTATAGAACTATATTGACTTTTATGGTCACCAATAAATTAAAATTAATCAATGTTACTGAGCGATAAAGATAGAGATAATTTCAATTCAAGATAATTCAAGAAGAGTTTAGTCCGTACTCTTAGTACGTCTATAATAAACCACTTGAAGAAAATACACTCGATAAACAGACTGACACAGCAGAGCACCAAGAAAAACAATAAAAAATACTTGGTAGAACTAGAAAATGCCAAGATTACACAAAAAAAAGGGAAAATACGTTAATGATGACAGCGATGATATATCAACAAGATCCCGCCTGCGTATGAGGCTATTCTTCCCGAGCATGCGCATTAGGAATAACGGCTAATGTTAAATTTTTACTTTATTTAAATTTAGGAATATTCTTCTAAGGTTTTTTGTAAGTTTTAAGTACATTACTGTATCTATTTTATGAAACACGTGTTGGCTGTTCTTAAATACTTCTAAACCGTTAATTTGAAATTGCTCATTTCTATAGCATCTATGTAAATAGTAAACAATGGTCATATTCGATCTATACAATTTCAACTATGACAATTTGTTGCGGATTACCTAAATATGTGATGTCACACTAAGGAATATATTTTGTTCAACTTAATTCAAAATAAATTACTATACAGCAAATTATTAATTATTGTTTTAATAGCATTCTATTCAGAATTTTCGATCGGTTTAAACTCTTTGACGTTTTGAGAGGCATACCACTCTCTTCAAAAGAAACTTTGAATGTGGGGATTAAATCCTCTGGCTGGTATCTTAATTGGATGCATGCGCTGATCCATAGCTTTCCGGTGTATGGCTTGTTGTCACTAGTCTGCGTCGTTCTGATTCCTGATTTTTGCGCCTTTGGCGTTTCCAAATTCCAGGTCCTCACCTCTTTAAAAATTATTTCGATTCTTTTTTTCTTTCTACTGAATTTCTATTGTCTACCTCTAAAGACATTTTTTCTCTCTCATCTGAATTCTGATATTAGTTAGGTCTATAAAGTTTGCTGCTCTATGTTCCGCAACTGTGACTTTTCCACGGAATGCTGTATACATTCTTGGTCTTGGAAAGTCTTTCTTCCTTGAGGTGTTATGTCAGTACATCCTTGCCAGGTATTCCCCCTTTTTCCTTGTTTTGAGTCATCCTGATAGTTCAATATCCCTGTCCCTGTAACCGTTTTCTCTAAGAACAAATCAGCAACATAAGTACTGTAGTTCCTTATCCAAGTGTTTTGGTTCGCGGAAGCTGCATGCTCGCTGTATTTATGTGGCATACCTACCTTGTTTCTGAGCAGGTGGTGATAAGGCTCAGCGTTCAGTTGTATTACCCTGTGGATTGGTTTTTCGTAAACGTTATGGTTTGGGTGCTATCCAGATTTCTCTTTGCAAGGATTTCTAGAAAAGGATAATAAATGTATCATCAATATGTCTGAATCAATCCTTCCGCTTTAAAGTTGCTGATGCAAGGAATTTCTGCTTGAAGGCTTCCATATAAACACTTACCAGAGCTGGGGATAAGGGTAAACCCAGAGCTGCTCTTTCAATTTGTTCATAAAACTGAAGACTACTAATATTTCATTCCTGTGCTCTGCTATGAGCCTTTGATGAATTTGATTTGAATGACTTTGATTTGAAGATTTCTAAATCTTCTTTAACTGACACTTTTGTGATTAACTTTGTTTATTAGGACTATGATCCGAATCTAGTTAGATTTCCTTAACCTTATCGATAAAATCTGGCAGTGTTCTTTTTTTCCCACAAGATTTTTTACTTGGTGACTCGTACCATCTAGCAAGAGGGTGATCCAACTGCACTCACTACTGGTGGGAGTGGTATCAATGTGGACCTTTGAAAGGCAATAAAGTTGGAGTGTTCTTGCGTTATTTAAAATAAGTTCCCTTTGTAGTTCCTTGGGAACGTTAGATTCTCGAATCAATCCAAGACGGCACCACTTTTACAACTTTTTTAATTAGGTTGTTCTTGATTTCTTGTAAACTGAGTCCTGTAATAGATGTACTCTTTTGTGTTCAGGGTGACAATTGCTTGCAGTTTATCGAACGGGAAAATTGTTATTTCCTCATTTCTTTTTCAGTTCTTTGATGGCTTGGATTTCTATTCCAGATAGATCTGGTTTAAGAATTTTGGCAGATCGAAATACGTGTGCTGTCTCATCCCTTACTTTTTGGCAAGCACACTTCATCTACTTGCACAGATGATACATTAATGACAACCCGAGATATGTTCTTACATTTAGAATGTTTTCTGAGAAGCATTTTCTGAATTTTCCCCTCCTGCTTGTTTGTGTATTTCTCTCCTGCCTATAGCACTTTCTTTGTAGTTATTATACATAGTGTGTCACGTCTACAGACGAAAATAACACTTTCGTCTTAAAACGTCAAATAAATGAGAGCAAATCTTTACTCTCGCCTATATGAGTAGAAAAAGTGTATGTTACGTTTTACATTTTATATCTAAACCGTTTACATATCGAGCTCCCCTCGTATGCCCACTCCCGATCGAATTTTCATGTAAGACGACAAGATAACATTTGTCAAGCAAAGTGAGCATAATGGAAATGACGAATTCCGATAAGAACAATCAGAAATCTCAAAGATAACTTTCCTAATCAATCATAATGTTATCTTTACGCGCATTCAGTCGATCTAGTTGTCTCCGAGATGGATTGACCTGGTTCTTCCGTTTGAAAAATGGGGGGATGTGGTTCTAAGGAAAAAACCCGTTCAAGTGGCAACACCAACAGAAGCAACGTGAACACTGGAGTGAGTCGGGACTACAACTATGCGGATGATATCAGAGTGGAGTCCATCAATCGGTACGATGAGCAGATCGTGAACATTATCAGGAGGGACCTTCGAGAAAACCCTCAAGTGTTTCTTCTCAATAATATCTTCATGGCCACGCAATTTTTTGAAAATTTCCAAAGGTATGTGAACGGGGTACACTTCCAACATTCTGATTACGTGACAAGATTCAAATATTCTTTTGACATTACGTACAAAACTCATTTGACTCAGTGGATATTAAAAATTGAATAAAAACAAGGAAGAAAAATAAAACAATTAATTATTTGGTATGAGAAGTGAACATTTCCTTTGATAAAAAAAATTTGGTGATATGAGATTTCAAAACAAAAATATGAATGAATGAGATGAATATATAAACCTGGTTCTAATCTTCTAGTGTTCCTGAACGTAGATATTACTTGCGCACTAAAAAAAATTAAATATATGTATAGTACCACTAAATTTATTGCATAACGAATACATTTTTTTTTACATTTTAATTGTGCTAGTATCAGGAAATTTTTTAACTTTATTACGCACAGATATTTTAATATACATTTATCGTACAATACTTAAGATGTGGAGATAACTGCAAATTTTATAAATATGGTATGGTAAAAGGTATGCAACTAGCAAAGTTATTAAAAAATAAGTCGATTTCTTTCATAAAATGCCAACCTGTTCTAATCTTTCAATTTTGCGTTCAAAGTTTTTCCAATTATTTTGTTATTTATAGGGATGTATATAAGTTAACCAACTCCACCGCCACCACCGTAGAGAAAGAACTGAATCGCAGGCTGTTGAAGCATGAAACAATGGAATGTACGAGTCCGGACATAGTCTTCGACAAGGTGAACAAAAATGTACGATTTAGGCCTCTACACGGGCCCAAGAAACATTCTTCAGAACCCTTGGCCACTAAAAGACTATATGTGATAAATGACACGATAGAAGTTGTGAATTCTATGGACATACCACAGTACACCTCCATAGACAAACCCGCCTACCAAGTGAGGACAGAAGAGTCTAAAAGGAAAGGTAAAAAATATTAAAAACGTAATAAGAAATACCACAAAATTTCATTACTTTTAGGTTTTCTAAGATTAAAACAGATCGACACTAATAAACTGCCCAAACAAGAAACGTATATAACAGTACATCCAGGCTCAGCAGGTCCATCAACTGCCTCAACCGATTCTGATATTTACGACTACACAACCATCACAGATATAAAAACTCCAAAACCTTTAGACATAATCTACAATCCCGAGAGACGAGATACTTTGCCGGGAACTTGCTTTTCCGCGAGAAAAGTGAAAAAAAGCTCGACAGAAGTATTCTCGGAAAGCGATGAAGAAAACGAAGAGGAAGAAGAAGTTTCCGAAGAAGACTTTTACGATACGGTGACGTATATTGACTCCAAGGGGTTCATGAACTACTTTAAGAACGCCCTTTTCCCCAATTCTCTAGGAAGAGCCTTAGGATTCGACGAATTAGCCATCAGCGAAGCTAATTCCATACCGGGGAAGATATTTTGTAATTTAACAGATGAAGATGACAATCCAATTCCTTGTGAGGTTTGTAATTTTCGCGTTGGTTATTAACTTTTCATTCAAATTTGTTTCATTTTTAGGTTATACCCTCAGTAGCCATTGAGTGGCCAGCCGAACAGACTTTCGAGTTCATCATGAGAGAAGAACGACCGACTATAACAGATCGAAGAACTGGTTACAGATACAGGTGGCCCACTGACGATATGTTAAAAGAGATAAAGTCCTTGAACTGCGTTTTGGTTCCAAAGGGTTATTGGTCGAAGAAAGGAAACTATCAGGACGCCAACATAGAATGGGAGATAGCTTTCCCCAAGGCGGAGAGATACATAGAAACTAGAATGTCCCACGCGCAGATTCGCTGCTTCCTCTTCCTCCTCAGCATTCACAAAACCTTCATTGAACCTGTATCTCTCCAACACGGTTTACTTACCGAACACATACGATGTCACATGTACTGGGAGTGCGAATCTAACTACAGGGATTGGCCGGAGCACAGATTAGGAACAAAACTGTTAAAAGTAATAACTAATCTCACCAACCGTTTGTCCAAAGGTGTCCTGCCCGACTACTTCATCAAGCAGAAGAACCTCTTAGAGAACATTCCTAAAAAGTATCTCCAGTTCGCGCAAAGGATTTTTCATGACGTTCTTCAATCGCCTGCAGTCTACTTCATGAGAGCCTTGAGGAATTTGCGGTACACCAGCGGTAAGTTTTATCTACCCTTGGACCACAAAGAGCTATACAAGATCGTAGCGCAAAGTCAAGGTATAAAAATCATCAATCCTAACCTGTTGTCGACTGGTCCTCCTAACTTGAGGAGAAAAAAGTACAATGATCCGGATTTGCAATGGAAACATATTCAGGAACTGAGGACCAAAGAGAAAGTGCTCAAGAAAAAATTCGATAAGAATCCCGACAAGCCCGAAGAGAAGAGGGATTCGATAGATTCTATAGATTTGACGGTAAGTACTTTATTCGCGCAATCTTTTGATCCTACATTTTGCTGTGTTTTTCAGTTGACGTGCGAGAAGCAGTTTGATATATACAAGATCAAAGCCATCCTCCAACTGTTCATCAACAGCTTCATTGACATAGCCAAGACGAGCTTAAGAATCAGCAACAAAGACCAAACGCTCTTCTACCTGAAACAAGCCTGGTATCTCACTAAAATCCTGGAGGATACCGCGTCAGGTTTTGCTGTGGAAGTGCGCGAATATAAAGAAACCATCGCCAGAGAGGAAGAGGCGTGCAAGAAGATGGCGGCGAAGGAAATTTCAGATATCCCACCAAATACTCCTATGAGGAACTCTGTGCAATTCGATTTCACCTTTCAACAACAGGTCAAGAACAACTTGGTGAATTTGAACAATTTGAACTCTACTTTCAACGGTACTGCCCCGCTGCAGAAGACTCAGTCCTTTCAGCATATTAAGAAGGAAAGGTTGAAGGTTGTGGAAGTGAACGGGAACGTGCCTAGGAAGAGTGTGGCCTTTATAGAAGCCAAATAAGGTAAACTACGTTTTTGTGACATTTCTTCCCCATGATAGACTATAAGTATAAAAGTATGAATGATTCGAAGGGATTGTTAAATCTTACACTGAAAGAAATGCGTTTTATTCTTTATTAGAATTCTATATACCATTATAAGACCATTGTATACTATATGTGACAGTTAAACAGGTGAATATTGGATATAATAAGCGTATTGCTAGCACAGTTGTATAGTGACTATAAACCTTATTCTTTATTAAATTATTGTATAACTAGTATACAACGTTTTTTATACCCTTTACGAAATAATAGCAATAACTGTTATTAAAGTGTTCCATATCGTTATTAGAACATCTAGTACTGGTTATAAGTTTTATAATAATAAATGTATTAAACTGTTGTATACTCTGTATGAGTTAAAAACATATGTCATTAAGTTTTCAGAAATTTTATTGGATAACTGTAATTACAAGCTAAGGTTCTAATGTAAACATACATAAAACATACTTTTAAGCATTAAAAATGATGACAAATCGCTCCCAAAACTGTCCAGTTTATTTTCTTAGCAACGATGCACCCGTATTTTCTTGTATTACATGAGAATTTGCACTATAACTCTTCCACCTTAAGAATGAAGCATCCCCAGAAAGGTTGAGCTTCTTTCCATATAATTTTATTTCCTCTGGTTGATTGACTTTATACCCATGCTCTTCTTTGTCACCGTTAACCTTCTGTTCCTCCATCTTATGTAAAACTTAACATCAGCGATTTCTAATAGGACCTACAAAATAATAATTTTTAAGATTTAGACAAGATTTACATTTGAAAAAACAAAACAATTACAAGCCATAAAACAGTTAGATACTTACATAATAATTTTCCATTTCACACAACGCGATATGATCATGTATCCCACAAAACATGTGCATATACTGTCCATTTTCATCAAACTAGACGTGTGTAAGTCGATGCACAGCGGACTGTCGGAAATTTTACGATTGTTGTATTTTCTCTTCTTGAGTAAAGATAATAAAGACGTTGTGGTTTTGTGTGTTTATTTTGACAATGATTGAACATGTATGGACAATAAAAGTGGACTGTATAAGATAGTTGAGTACCGTTCTGCTTCATGCATAGCATGCTACTGAAATCTTAGAAGGGATGAGCTCGTGCGGCGAACCCTAAATCAGCGGCTGGAATAGCCAGGTTTCTTATTGAGTCGGCGCACTTCGCTCTCGGGTCTGACATATGATTATTATTACAAGACTATGAATATAACTTAACAACGATCATAACCGATTATGCACCGAGAGGTGACGATCACTTAACCATTATAAGATGCGTTTTACACGTTAAAAACGGAAACATATTCAGTATAAGAACGAATAATTCTGTTAATACAATTGTTATATACAAATTCGGATACTGGTCTTTATACAACAAATCTTCCCTACTATACAACTGGAATATAAAGTCTATAACACCTAATAATGTATAAGTAATTCATTATAACCTTTATTTCATAGATGCATAAGGTGTATTAAGCACCTTCCAGTTAAACTGATTGAATAATGAGTATGGAGATGATTGCTTTTTTTTAATAAAAGTTGTATATTGGTTATAAAAGTTTTAATATGCGCTATACACATTATTCTCGATAAACAGTTTAATAAGCCCATTTCTTTCAGTGTAACTCAACAATATCCTTATACACTTGTAAATAATTTTGTAGGTATGTAGTTTTTTATAAAAATAAAAATTTATTAAAGACAATAGTGACATCTATTTTTAGATTTTTGTACTAATCCCTAAAGGTTTTCTACTCCAAATATTTTCAATAAAGATACAGGATGACTCATGTTTAAAGTTGGATTCGAGAGTATGTGACAGTATCTACGTAATTATCTCTTCACGACATAAAGAATTGATTTAAACAAAAAATAGATTGACATATTCCCTCAAAATTGCCTCGTACTACGATGAAAAAATAAAAAAATCTAGTTAAAAGTGTGAATCATTTTTACTTATTTAATTAATGTTTGCCCATATCCCCACTACTGGTTACCTAGAGCTTAGAGGACGTATTAACTATCCAGGTATTATATGTATTAAATTTAGTTAGTTTAATTGATTTTCTTTTTTAACTTTATTACCCTGTAAATCGTAGAGACGGGATATTTTTAGAAAAATGTTTATACAAAAAAAAACATTTTGTTATTACATACTCCTTAATCCGACATTAGTTCTGACTCACCCTGTATAAATAAGGAAATTGAAGAAAACTTCTAAATATATTTTTTTCAAATTTCAAATAAAATCTGAACCATTGCAAAAATAATTCATTTTGTAACATGAATTTTACGATTTTATATTTTTAAAATCCATTTTTCTGTAGTTTATAGTCAATTTTTCGAAATTTTGCTGACATTCCTTAATTTTAAGTAGCCTGTGAATAGTTTTCCTCTATTAATTATTAAAAATAACAGAAACAAAATGGATTTCAAAAGCATTTTAGTGGCCATTCATTTAATATGCTTCTTACAAACAGAAAACGGGGATATTTAGTAAATTTTTATTGCTGTCTCAATGGTAATGATATTGAAATCTCCACAAATTTGATTATATACAGGGTGTCCACAAATTTCAGCGACAACGTTTGACTGCATATTCACGACGATAAATAAATACGATCTACGAAAAAAAAGTTAAATAAAAACCTTTTGGTTTTTGAGTTACAGGCTTTCAAAGTTGACAAAAATAAAACTAATTTAATTAATAACTTCATAAAGCTTTTACCGATCGCGTTAAAATTTGGCACATTTATTTGGACTATTATGACGTATTTTTTCTTAAAGATTTAGTCAAATTGATATACTGGGTGATATTTTTCTCACCTTTTATATGGGCCTTCAAAAGTTTAATGAACAAATTACAAAGTGATAAAGAATAAAGATGCACTAAGAAAAACTGTTTAAGTAACTCATGGTAGGTAATACAATACTTTTTTTACCATTCACAGTAGCGGAGATACTGGAAGTAATTGAAAATTGTTTATTTAAAAAAAATTATCCATCTCATTGACCGTAGTAAAATAACTTTTTAAAAGGGGATGTTAAAAGATACAGAAAGGTACTCTTATTCGATATTGATATTCAGAGCCAATTCCAAGAAAATTATTAACAAAAATTATTATGACCTTGATGATGATAGATTTCAAAAATTAAAATTGCTTTTAAAGTTTGCTGATACATTATATCAAATAAAAAAAAAAGAGAAAAATTGATAAAAAGTATGTTTTTTTCATAGTATGGTTTTTTCATTAGTACCCAAGTTTTAACAAAATTTTTACAAAAATGTCAGTACCTATCACATTTTTGATACAATAAATGTATGTTGTTGATAAAATCCGATTTTCTCAAAAACGGTACAATATATCGACTGATATACGGTTTACCTTTCTTTAGTAAAGTGAGAGAGGATTCGAACTATGGAAGAATAGTGTCAAATTTGGCAACGCTGTCAAAGATGGATAAATTTAAATGGATAATTTCGTCTGCTCCTGTATAATAGCATTTTGAATATCAGTATAAACTTCGAAATGAACATTACCATGAGTTACTTTAATTGTCTAAATTTCATTGTTATTGTGGTAACGATTTAGAAGTCATACCTAATTGGAATTTGTTTTTCAAACTTCTTTCTTTGACGGCGAATAACTCCACAACGAAGCCCGATAGGAATTTGTTTTATAAAGTACCTACTACTTCTAATTTGACCTCCCTTCATTTTTGACATGACCTTTCCGGACACCCTGTACATAGAAACTATAAATAATTAAAATAATTAAAACATTCACAATTATTATGACTATTTCGCATTCTCAACATTGAAATATTTATTTAATCCTTGCAAGTTCTTTAATAGATTCCCCATAAGGCAAAGTCTTATAATCTTGATTATAAATAATAAAACAAATTTATTATTATTTATATTAAAAATTATTACAATTACTAATTTTTTGAAAATTGAATCTCACAAGGTGATTCCAAATCACTTAATAAAAATAATATTCGTCGAGATAAAAATTGTACCATTTTCATTTATTTTATAATTGTAACATGAACTAAACTAACTAAAAAATGTACTTAAATATTTTTGGTCAATATAAATTTAAACAAAAATTGTTTGCTATTTAAATATGTTTATTAAATATTTGTAAATACAAAACTACAGACAGATTATATTCTACGATTTTCCTTCCCTATAATAAAATATTAAAATCGTCAATGTACTTTTTTTGTTATCTTTCCTATCTAGTATTAATTGTTTATTTATTATCTATTTCATTGTGTAAGTGACACAATTTTTCCATCAATTCAATTTCTTTGGGTGGGTGGATTTGGAACTACAAATATTGAACACTGAAATATCAGAGCAGGGTGTATTGGTATGTACGAGGTCTGTTCAAAAAAATTTATTTTATTTTTTTTAAATGTATTATTAATTTTATACATTATAAATCCTTGTCTCCTTCCTTCCCCTATTCACACACTTTTTCAGGCGGTGCTTCCATTTCACGAAGCTGTCCTGGATAGCTTAATTTAAAATGGCCTTTAAAGTATGTGACGAATTTGCTTTGATGTCATCAATTTCGGAAATAAGGAAAAATCGCTGGAGCCAGGTCTAGTGACTAAGGAGGGCGAAGGAGAACACAAGATGAGTGTGCTGGTGCATTGCCATGGTGTAAGAATCATAAGTTGTCTGGCCACACACCACCACTCTGGTCTCATTTTGCCGATTGTTTTACGTAATCGTTGTAAAACGCCTTGATGGTACACACGGTTCACTGTTTCACCTTGTAGCAAGAATTCAAAATGCACAATTCCATCAAAGTCGAAAAATCAATGAGCATCTCTTTGACACTTTGATATTGAAGACTGATGTGCTTTCTTGAGACGTAAAGATCCTTTGCCAATCCATTGTGATGATTGAACTTTTGTCTCAATGTTGTAGTCGTAGACCCAGCTTTCATCTGCCATTGTGATCCTTTGAATGAATGTTTCACCGTCATTGGATTGTTCAAAGAGTGGCCCACAAACATCCACACGATTTTTTTTCGGTCATTAGGCGAGAAACAAATTCTGCTGCAACACTATGGATGTTTGTTCAATTAAAATAAAAACATTACTTAATTGATTTTTATCTTTCGACAATAGAAAAAATATATTTGGTACTATTTTTTAAGTATTTTCATAAGCTGTTAATAATTATTAATATTATAAAATTCAAATCTTATCATCCTTCTTAAAATTCTATAGGCATCACTGCTTTCATAAATTAAATCTTTAAATAAAAGCTAGATCGGATCTATAGATCAGTTATTAACATTACCACGTAAAATGTTTTAGAGAAATGACAAATTGTATATATTCTCAGGTTCATGTCTATGCAACCAGAAATTCAGATTATGTCATGTGAATAAACATATTGAAACACAGAAACCTTTACATTATTGATTTTTAGCGAACAAGTGAACGATTGTAGGTAACAACAATCCTTTAGAAAGGTGTTGATTGATCTATTGTGCATATTTTAATCTATTCTTAATATTACAGAACATCCTTTTAATTAACATTGAAATTGTGCTGACATTAATGACAACTTTATGCAAGTTTCTAAAAAAATCATATCGAAATTCTCAAATAAAACACTTTTATACATCCATGGTTGAGTCAGGACTAGCTCGTATCGAAATAGAAGAAAACTGTAACCCATTCCACTTGTTTGGAGAATGGTTGGACGAATCGAAAGCGTGCGGGAAATTTAACACTGTGTTTTTTAATTTGGCTACAACAAACAGGTTAGTGAACTTTTATTCTTTGTAAAACAAAATGAATAAAAAAACAATATTGTATTTTTTTATTATTAGTAGAAAAAAAAGACTTCCGATACCGGGAATCGAACCCGAGCCTCCTGGGTGAAAGCCAGGTATCCTAGCCACTAGACCATATCGGATATGCAATATTATGTTATTTAGTATGTCCAGATTCATTATTGAATCGCTTGTATTTTAGAAATGGTGATGTATCTAATAGAGTGGTAGTTCTAAGAGATTTTAAAGAAAATTCTTTGGTGTTTGTAACGAACGGTAACAGCAAAAAAATTCAACAAATTGTAAGACCTTGACATACTTATTTGTGCTCTAAAACGAAGTAATGTTTTCATTTTCAGAAAGCGAATCCCAAGGTTTCAGCTTGCTTTTTCTGGAATTACACAAAAGATGAGAAGTACATACAACGTCAGGTAAACTAAAAAACCATTTTCTATACTAAATTAACACATTTTCCCAAAAGACGTTTACTAGATTATTTCCAGATCGATTATTATTTTCTTTCAGGTTCGTATAGAAGGCATATCGGTTGAAATGTCTTTTCAGGAATGCCTAGAATATTACAATAAGGAACCTCTATATTGCAAGATTCGATCACATATTTGTCAACAAGGTCAAAAGGTTGACTGGGATACCTTAAAGAAGAAACACGACGAAATTCTGGAGGAAATCAAAACCACTAATAAGCAGTTGCCAATGCCAGAATATCTGTAAGTTCTTAACTACCTAGATATACTTTTTCTAAGAATAACGGGTACAATTTCTATACAATTTGTTTTTAGGGTTGCATATAAAATAATTCCAAATAAATTCGACTTTTACTTTGCGTGGGACAATAATATCGCCGATAGGTTAGAATTTATCCAAAAGTCCGGAAATGGATGGGAATTTTATCATGTAGCTGCCTAATCTGAAGAGAAAGGGCAAGTAGGTAATTAACCAGACCATCGGTAGACTTGTAACTCATAGGGCCATAACCAGGTAGATCATATTGGCTTTATAATACAATGTAGAGTAATATATCTTCTCAATTGTAAACATTATCAAAAAATAAAACTGCATAAGTGTATACATTTCAGTAATACCGTAATACATAATTCATCAAGTCTTAGCACGTATTCAAAGTAGGTATGTACCTACCAGCTTATTACTAATACTAAACTAATAATTTTTTCTTTACGAAAAAGTTACCAATAAAATCTTCCATAAGTCATTCTCTGTTTGTACCTTGAATATGAAATAAGTAATCTTTATGTTTCCATCAAACAATTTAAGTACTCAAATGGAAATAAAATCTTCACGGAAAACGATTAGTATTTTTATGACATACAACTTTATTAGTAAATAACTACTTTAAAATTTAATTTCAAAAATGTATCTTAGACGTTGCAAGGTAGGTACCTACCTTACAACGTCTAATGACATATTTTCAAGATTAATTAAGCAGCAATATTATGACTGGTACGCCACTGGTATACCCGTGTTACAATTTGAATGCTGCATTTTATATTGTTTTTATTTTATTATTTTATATCATAACCTCACTTTTGTTTTAAATACTTTGTTATTTACTTTTGCATGGTAGTGAAAGAGATGTTTATCACTTTTTGAAATATGTCTCTAAAGCTATTTTTACACCCCTTAGCAGGTACAAACCGTTAACGGCGATCAGTTTGCTTAAGACTTGTTCGGCGTAAGTAGGTTTGATTTAGTCTGAATAATGAATATTTAAATTTGATACTTGAAGTAACATTTATTTGAAACTTTAATAAAGCAGTAGGTAAACTAAAAATTCTACAATTTAAAGCGGCTGTTAACAAAATTGCAAGAGAGGGTCAAACGCCGACAATTTCTTAATCAATTCAATAAATCAAGTTGGTTCGTCTAGTCAATAATACACAACTACAACAGCGTCTACTGCGTGCCGGTACATTTCGCTTTTGATACCGTTTTCAGTGATAGTGCGGCAACATTAGAAAAAAATGGGTGAAGGTGAGGAAAATGCCCCGTGTTTTCTTGTTCTGGAGGACGGGACTGTGTTTCCTGGTGAATCTTTTGGGGCAAAACGACAGATAGACGGAGAAGTTGGTGAGTAGCAAAGCAACACGTGGTCAATATGTTTTTAGAATTGGTAGTAGCGAATACGACGCGGAACCGCATGCCTTTCAATATTTTTTAATTCCTTAACTATTTGAAGTAATAATAAGTAATGCCCACATAGAGTTTAAATTTGTAATTGAGAGATATCAGCTTAGGATAATTATTGTTTAGCTTCGTCACCATCGATTAGCATTTTACCTTCATGCCTATGTTTGACAATAATTAAATATAAAAAGATAACAACTCTTTATTCACCTGTTCTGGTTTATCTCATTTTTGAAAAAGTAAATAAACAATATTTTTGTTTATAATTCAACAAGATACCAATTGGATAAACAACTTTTGATTTGAGATAGTAAGTAAGTACCTAACCCTAACCACAGTAAAAAAAACACTAGAACAACATGCCTACAGCGTTAGCATTATAAGTTGTAAAGTAAATTTGTATTTGTATCAAAAGCCGTCAATAAAACACTTTAGTAGACATTTATAGAATTAATACTTTGAAAAAGGATTTATAGGTACCTAATAACTTTTAGGTTATGGTTTGCTTTTAGCCACAGATCAAGATTTAGCTTTGTGCTCATTGTTTACATGTCATCACATACTTCTAGTATGTGCATGTCATATACCTACGTGTTTTCTGTCAGAAGTTGAAAAAGAAATGTGAAATTTAATCACTTCTGTCATTTAGATGCGAATGCAAAATTTTTAATAGAATTAGCTTGAAAAAAAAATCAAATTAGGTAGTATAAATCATTGATATTTTTTTAAGGATTCATAAAGTAGGTAGGTAATTATAAGATTTGGAAATATTTAATCTAAGAGCAATTCTTATCTTTGTTTAGTTTTTCTTTATCTTGTGCTGCAAGATAGATTAAATTTAGTATCAAAATATGTATGTAGGTGTTATTTTTATTACTCACTTTTGAAATTATATTTAAGGTAAATAATCACAAAGTGTAATTATAGATGTAGGTATAGGCAACCCTGGATACAGTATATGTTTGTGCCTGTATACAAACTTGGTTTTTAATTCAAGATAAAAAAAATCATTTTATTGATTAACATTACATAAATAGTATTTTATTTAACTTGACATTCTAATAACAGATGAAACGCGTATTTTCGACTTTCAATAGGTATTGTTCATGTAAATAAAGCCAGTGCCAGTTTGTCTAGATAGATATCCGCGATATTATATCATACCTAAATACATGTATTTTCTTATAAATGTCATGTAAAGTACGTACTACATGTACCTATAATCTTTTTTAAATCTCTGTTCTAAACTATTTTAAATAGATAAAATAAATAACAGGCAATGTTAAAAAAATTACAAGTACTTCAGCCATCAATCATTTCGTTAACTGGATAAGTACCTGTCAAACAGATATGTATATACAGGGTGATTAAGAATATGTCGAAAAGTTATCAAGTGGAGGACCAATTTATTTCCAAAAACAACTTGAGTATTAGAATGTATGAAAAATATTAATAGAAATAATACATGTGTAAAGTACAAAATATATTTTTTCTGTAACGGGAAAAAAGTTTGACATTTTATCTCTGTTGACAGGTAATAAAATGTCACTTTTTATGAAATTGCTTTTTTCCCCGGGAAAAAAGTGAGTACTTTTTTCCCGGATATATACAATATACATAAGTAAAGGTAGATATTTAAAATAATTTTTGTGACACTACTTTCGCTGCTTCTACTAACTCCGGTGGAGTCAGAGAAAACTCGGAATCAGACATTTTTTAACTTTATATTATTCAAAATAACTACTAAACAACCACTAAGTTTGCAATTTTTAAATCAAATCACAGAATTAAATTGACAGATATTTGATTACTTTAAAGGTTTCCTTAGCAACGCAGATGTAATTGTCCCTATAAGTATAACAGCCTACCAATTTAAAACTTTAGTGACTAATATATTGTAATAATGTTTTTTCAATATTAAATCGTTGTTTTTCCCGTCACAGAAAAAAAATAGTGTATTATACACGGGAAAAAAGTAGATTTTACCTCTCGGTTTTTTGTCTTCCTCCGCTTCGCGTCGGGAGACAACACAACCTCGAGCTAAAATCTAGTACTTTTTTCCCTTGTATAATAAATATCTATTAAAAAATAAATTCTCAGTCTAACAAACCTTACCGACATAACGAATTCACAACTTTTTTTCCGAATTAGAAAATAAAATTGTATTGCACATATGTATTTTGGAAAATATATATTTTTTCATAACCAATTACCTAAATATAAAATTTTTGTCTTATTTTTCACTGTAATTTTTCATTATGACATTTGAAAAATGGAATGTCGATTTTTTGAGAAAAAGTTTTGCTTGTTTTGAGAAGCCATGGGCAGTAAATCAAATATGTAATAAAACATACAGGGCATCCAAAATATTTAAAAATGTGAAATTTTCCCTAAGCGAAGTGCCTTTAATATTTCTTTTCGTTAAAAACTGTATTTAACAAAGTTATTAATGCTTAAATATGGGGTTTAGTCAGAGGAGAACAATAATCACATTTTACAAATAAAAAGACGCCGCAGACAGAAATTGTAAAAAATAAGTAACTTTTATTTTAAATTTAAATATAATATAAAAATAGCTTGGTAGATCAATTTCCAGGTTGGTTGCCACGTCGTCGGTTTGGGTTTCTTGACGATTCGAGAGATATATCGCTCTCTTCCTCAGAACTCTGAAAGTTTTCGTATTTTTGAAAAGAGCGATATACTCGGCGATATGTCTCTCTAAACGTCAAGAAATCTAAACCGATGACGTGGCAACTGGTCCAGAAATTGTTTTACCATTAACAACTGCCGATAGTCTGCAAACTAAATAAAAGTAGCTTTTCTAATTGAAAAATAGAAATAACAAATTACAATTGGAATTAACAGCAATAACGAAGCGCAAGTTCCTCAATTTTCTACTTTAGATATTCCCATTAGAAATAATATAATGGAGACAAGTTGGGTGCCCGTGCAGGCCAAAGTATTGGACCACAGCGTCCGATTCACTTCACTTCGGGAAGTGAACGTCAAGCCAGTTTCTCACTAGAAGTATGGAATGTGCAGGGCATCCGTCTTGTTGAAATATTAGTTTTCTTCTGAACTCTAAATTTTCGCTATTTAGTTCTGCCAGAACAAAATTATTGAGTTTCCAAATACGAATTTTGATTAAGATTTTCTTTTAATGTTTTGACTATTAGTTATCAACGAGAATGGATAATCTTTAGCCCAGTATATACAATTCTGAGAGGAAACCACGCCATTAGTTGTGAATGTTGATTCGTCAATAAGTAAAATATGATGAACGAATCTGTTTTCAATCGGTTTCTCGCCTATTGTTAAACAAATGTCCAAACGACGACCATCATCTCCATCAAGCAATTTATGGTTAAACACTGGTTTGAATGGATAGATTTTGTTGTATAGGAACTAAAATTCTTTGAATATGAGATCTGCTAATATCTATGTTTTCTGACCGTTTGCTGAGTGATATCTTTGGATTGTCTTGTACAGAGTCCATAACTACAACAGTAGCAGCATCGTTATCGTTGTATTCTTTTTTTATCTTGTTAATATTCTTTACATCACCCGTGGTATTGAATTTTATAATTAGCTTGCGAACTGTTCTACGAGTTACAGTTCCATTGGATACTTGTCATTAAAAATTTGTATTGCATATCAATACGAAATATTACCGATTCTATAACATTTCACAAGATAAATTCGTTGTTTCGGGGTTAGCATTAATAATAGATAAATAATTAATACTAAAAATTATTCCGTGAGCAGTAAATAAAAATAAACATGTTGACTTTAAGATTGATAAGGAAATGGTAATGGTAATTATATGGTATGTAAGATAGTTACAATTTTGTTAAATACAGTTTTTAACGTAAACAAAATGTAAAGACAATTAGCTTAGCGAAAGTTTCACATTTTGAAATATAGATAAGCAAAACTTTTTATCAAGAATAATTTTTTTTCTCGAAAAATCAATAAAAAAATTTACAAGAATGTGGTACCCTATCCTGGGACACACTGTATTTTTCCCATGTGCAATTGAGATCTTAAAAATGGTATGGGTCCCACGTTTCACTATTGTAATATGAACACTAATTTTCATCAACCACAATTGCCTCATAATATATTCGTCGATAAAATGGAATTTTAGAATGCATAAAATTATTCTAAATATTTTTCTCAGTTCAATAAAGAGTAATGTGGAACATTTAAACCTCCGTGTCATGCCACATTTCTATAGTTATTATCATTTTTAAATTCAACAATTATACACCACCTCCCTCCCCGTCTCCATATATTAGTACAAGTTTTTATATTAATTCCTATCAATTCGAAGAACGTTTATTATTCATCATTGTAAAAATAAGATAATCTGTTATTATCTTTATTGCACTGTGAAATTTGTTAAGTGCCTATTATGCTCAATATATTTACAGATATCTAAAGAATAGCCCCCTTGTGATTACTATAATAAAATATTAAAGTGCAATATTTTTTTTATCAAAATATTTGACATTTCTAAAATAATATTAAGTTATTAGATTTAGTATTTATAATATAGGCATACTAAACTGAATTTTAATAAATATTTGTTAATTTTAGACTAAGTTTTAATAGGTAATATTGAGGATATATACTTCAGAATAATGGACCAGAAATACTGAGGTCAATAAAGTATTAATAAAATGTGAATTATGGGTCTTTCATCTTTTATTCTAAAGATACCGGGAATTAAAGTATTTTTTTATATTACAAACCAAAATCTCGTATTTTTTGAGGTTAGGATCTTGGATTGAGGTTAGGATCTCAGTAATGTTTTCTTATGTATGTTTTATTGTCCCACAAAAATATCCTATTGTCAAATTTTACTAAACCGCTTCGTTTTCGAAGAACAACGCAAAAATTGGAGATGCATTACTAAATAATAACTAACATAAATCATATATTTATGTATATTGTCTTTCCTACATATTTAATTCCAGTGAGTATTTTTTTAAATTCATATAAATTGCTATCTAGCTTTTGCAATATTATTTTATAATTCTTAAAAAATAAAATCGATCAAAACAAAGACAGATCTAATAACTTCTAGATCTAGACGTAGAAATAACAACAGTATACTTTTCGTGTAAAGGAAGGATGTTGGAAGAGATACAGGGAACAAACACCTACTACAATAGATCTGCGCAAAAGCTGACGTTTTCCACAACTGGACCAACACAAAACTTGTAGTAGAATTTAACTGTACAACTGAGCTGTTTAACAATAAAATTGTGTAGTAGGGGGTGGGTGAGATGAGTGGGAAATTTGTAGGATGCGCAGTGGTATATGTCTTATCTACGTATTCTTATGGTGTACGTATGGTGTAAAATGTGATGTGTAAAAATAGCAATACCAGATTATTCAGTAAATCTCAATACATACAAAAGGGTGTCCCAAAATTCACGCAAGAAGTAATTTTGATAGAAAACACAGGTTTTTAATTAAAAATTATACATTTTTTGTTGATGCATAAAGTATACAGTATAGGATTATGTATGGAATAGCATATCGGGTAAATGGCCTCTACGGCTTTGCTGACAGATACGTACTCTTTTGTCAAAATTTTCCACTTTCCATTTTTGCGTTGTGGATGCAGTTGTTTCCCAACAATCACTCGTGGATTTTCTGAACCCCAAATGCGATAATTTTGTCGATTAACGAAGTCATCAAAATGAAAATGAGCCTCATCGCTGAAGAGGATTTTGTTCGAGAAGTCAACATCCATTTGTTGTTACATAATCCATTCAACGAACTCTCTTCGTTCTGCGTCAATCAAACTTTGCAAGCATGAAGATACAAATCTTTGGTGAGAATACGCTGTAGAGCTTCTCGAAATGTCCAATTCTTGTCCACGGTGCCCAATTGATGTTCATGGACACTCAACAATACTTTCACGAACTACTTCGATGTTTTGTGTCGAACGATCTGTTGAGGGATGGTGGTCAAGACGTAGCGATTTTGTTTTCTTTTTTTTTAGTGGTTGTTTACGGTCATATTGACGTTTTCGAGTCCGATATCAAAAAAAGAGACCTACAAACTGCGGCTTCTGCAAGCCTGTCAAATTACTTCACAGAAGTTGTTTACTTATACCTGATTATATAAAAATACAGTCCACAAATAAAAAGGGTCTTTCATTAACAATACACCCTCCTTATCTGTACGTCGATAGATGCAGTACATAGCACCTGTCTGGGAATTTTCATCAAATCTAATTTTTGTATTTGAACCTGGAAATTATTCCAAGAATGCAAAATGTCCCATGGTATTTCGTCATCCCAGCCTAAATCTAACTTCCATAACCGCTCCGCTACAACATCAATTGACCTTGCCTATTATTGGACCTACTAACCCTAATGGATCAAATATCTGCGAGATCATTTTTAAAGTATGTACCTCTTCGTCAGCTTGTTTAAAATTGAATCATTTTTAAGGCTAACCTGAAAGTGTAAAGAATCCTTTCGCGAATTCCATAACAAACCTAAAACCTTCATCGTCATTAGTAATATAGTAATCTATACCTCGGAAATTTCATTGCTTGTTGCGGCGCTAGCATCGAACAGAGAGAAACCATCTGATCCTGTACTGATAATCCGTATGCCAGAATACAGGACTAACAGAGTATTTAAGATCGTTAATTGATCCAGTTTTTCTGAATTTTGCAATTAATCTCTTCACAGCTGATGAAGTTAAATTACTATTCCGACAATATTTTGCACGGAAATTGCGAACTGTTGCTGTTAAACCTTCATTATTTTAAAAATATTGCGCAACAATGAAAATGCGTTGTTTTTTTAATGACCCTGAACTGTCAGCTGTCACGCTATCTTTTCAAGTTTTTCGTTGGCAACTCTTTACCGCCAAATGGCATAAAATTCAAATTTTTCGTGAATTTTGGGATACCCAATACGTATCAAATTTCAACACGAATGTTGATTACTTTTGCAGATATGGACAACATTCATTAAAAAAAAATAACTTTATCTCTCGATATCTTGAAAATAAAAGACCATGAACCCATCATTCAAAGGAAAAAATCTTTTTTTTCATGATTACCTTATTCTGTATAATTAACTTAATGTAAGATTTTCTTTGATTTTTTTTTTGATAGTGTTTCAAACTGGAATGGTAGGATATCCCGAATCTCTGACAGATCCGAGTTATCATTCTCAAATTCTCGTGCTCACGTATCCTATTGTTGGAAACTATGGTATTCCTGCCAAAAAATGCGATGAAAATGGCATTCCGTAGTAAGCAAACATAATATTCAGTTTCAGTAATGTAGTAGTATATTATTGTTCTATTATTCAGTAATTTTTAAATAGTACTAACCTAACCACATTAGTAAGTCTAAGTATTTACGGGGCCTTCATAAATGATTACAATCCACGTTACCAGTAATGTTGTTTTGAACAATAATTTTATTTTTTTTTTACATTGGCAATTAAATTTCTGTAAAATTAAAACAATAAGATTAAGGTTACATTAAAACAGAAAATTCTGTTTCATCGGCTATGATTTGGGTAATTTTTTACGAGATTCTATTCAGCCAATCAGCGATCGCATTATCTCGAGCGTAGACGTAGCAGTTTGTCATTGTTTATTGTAAACGAATCATTAATATTGGTGCCGCCAAGATTTAGGGAATTTTCGTTACCAGTACCAATTGTGCAATGTTGCGTTGCCTAAGCTCGACGGTAATGTGGCTTGTAAACATTTATGAAGGCTTTGTGTAATAACTAACATGAACATAGATACAGGTTGTTCCATTTAAAACTCTCCACCAAACTCGAAAACCAAAAGAGATATTAAAATATAAAGAAATGTTGTGTACTGCACATAAAGTTTAATTCTGTGTCAAATGACGTTACTGTTATTATATATTGACGTATTGAACCAAAGAAATTTTTCGATTGCGGAAACTTTGAAATGTGATTAACGTTAAAAGACATTAAAGATAAGTAAATTTTGTAACACAGATAAACCATTTTCAAAGAATCACTTATTTTTATTTTGTTAAGTACATCTGGTTTAAATGGTAATATAGATTGTTTTTCCAGTTTCTGGGTTGACCGGAAATTATGTATTGTAATTATCTATTATTACTGTTTTTTTTTTCAATAAAATGTTTTTTCATTTCTCTAGATTATAAAAAATAAAAATAAAGTGATAAAGTATCTGTACCGCTTTCGGGTTTAATTTGATTTTTTATTTGGCGTTACCTGAAATATTATTTCATCAAACAGAACTGTACTGTTTCCTACAATCTTTTGAAGGAAATGCCGCATATTAGATGATCTTTTATTTGCCAAACATACTTGTAAAAGTAATTTATTCACCAAAAATTCTAATTAAAATTATAAATTTTGACAACTGTATTAGTTAATTAACATATTATGGCTCCGACGATATTTGATGAAAAAAAAAATTTGCATGTTTTTTCCAAAACCAGAGATTACCAATATCCTGAATTTCTAATAATTTTATGTGTTATTTTTAAATGGATATTATTTTATTGTAATAGCTTCTAGTTATTTAGCCTTGTTTATGTCTGTAAGTTTAGTGGATGAATCTGGCAACACTGAAGAAATTACTCATAAAAATACGAAAGCAGTGATGCCGTCGCGCAGTGGACTAAAATATTCTGAAAATTACTACATTTGGCGTTGTAATTGAAATTTTCGCATAATGACGTCACCACGCATATTTTATTTCTTTTAGGATTTAAACAAAGTCAAGATAATAATAACAATAACAGGAACAACAACAACAAGAACAAAAACAAGAATAACAACAGCAGCAACAATATTACTGGTGGGGCCCAAATAGGCCTTTCAAGTGGACTGTATGTTTAAACGAAAAGAAAAACAAGAAACTCACCAAAAATCTTATACAGCTGATTTTTTTTCTCGTCGAGGATAAAAAGACATGCATTCGACAAATTGTTATTTGTGCGTAACTTAAAGAATTAATCACACAAAGTTAGGTATTAATTTTAAGATGTAGGTATATAGCGGAATATCCAACAAATGCTATGGGTGCGCTAACTGAAATAATACTACAATTTCATATATAAAAAAATATAAAAAATTGTCCAAAAAGCCGGTGGACGAAGGCCAGCGGTTCGCCGGGATATCTCTTTCACATACCGGGAATTCAAACAAACACCAACACGAACAACAAGAACACTAACAGTAACAATAACAAATTGTGATGTCTTGAGTGATATACATTACATACGGTGCTTTCAATTATTTTATTACTGCTCTCTATGAAGTTGGTATTCACAAACTGATAAGAACGACAAAAAACTATTCTACAAAAACGTACATCATTTAAAATAAGGAAAACTTTACCTCTCTATCTTGAATTTTGCAAAATTGACCTCGGATCCATGATCAGCGACCCCGAAAACCCCCGTATACCAAATTTGGCGCGAATTTGATATCTGACCTTAATTGACCCGTTTTTTTGGGGTTAGAAAAATAACCATCAATTCTGACCGCTAATTCACCTTCGGCGGAATCTTAACTATATAAATGAACATTTGAATATAGAAAAAAATAATTGTATTTTTCCTAGCACTTTTTCATGAATTTTTGCTATTTTTTACTTGTTTTTTGAGGTTAGGAAATTCCTGTGAAAGTAGACTATACTTTTGAGTAAATTTTTAATTGTTTTGACTGTATTTTTCGCAGCTCCATTAGATTGCCTAATAAAAAATGCAGTAATGTTTAATTTAATACTTTTCTTTTTAAATTTGTTGCTGGTAAAATTTCTGGCATTGGGCGCCTGCACATAGTACACTTGTTAGAGAATCGTTAAATTTAAATTACCCGAATCGCTGGATTGTTCGGGGTCGTGATGCCCCTGTTTGTTGGCCTGCACGTTCACCTGACCTAATACCTATGAATTTCTTTTTGTGGGGACACATACAAAGTATTGTTTATTCCACTCTTGTTGCCTCCTTAGAAGAACTACGCTTAAGAATATTTCAGGCAGCAGATAATCTTTGCAATAACCAAGAACTGTTTGTGCGAGTGCGTTATAACTTCAACAGATGTATTAGGTTATGGTTGCAGCGAAATGGAAATTATTTCGAGAGTATTCTTTAAATTTATTTTTGCATTTCTTGTATTTCGTTTGTATTAAATTTTATTTCAGATAAATAACTTTACCTAACNTTATTGTTATCACGATTATTCTTTAAAATAAAGTTATATAGTCATTAACCTTATTGAAACTGACAGCTGCTATACAGCTCGTTGAGAAATGAGGTTAAGTTGGTCGCTATAAGCTACTCCCTACGTCCAATGTGTCAGAGCCAACTTCGACCACGTTTTTATTTGAACGCTCGTTACTACGATTTCATATATAAAAAAATATAAAAAATTGTCCAAAAAGCCGGTGGCCGAACGCCAGCGGTTCGCCGGCATATCTCTTTCACATACCGGGAATTCAAACAAACACCAACAAGAACACTAACAGTAACAATAACAAATTGTGATGTCTTGAGGGATATACATTACATACGGTGCTTTCAATTATTTTATTACTGCTCTCTATGAAGTCGGTATTCACAAACGGATAAGAACGACAAAAAACTATTCTACAAAAACGTACATTATTTAAAATAAGGAAAACTTTACCTCTCTATCTTAAATTTTGCAAAATTGACCTCGGATCCATGATCAGCGACCCCGAAAACCTCCGTATACCAAATTTGGCGCGAATTTGTTGTTTTGAAAATTCGTGATATCTGACCTTAATTGACCCTTTTTTTTGGGAAAATAACCATCAATTCTGACCGCTAATTCACGTTCGGCGGGATCTTAACTATATAAATGAACATTTGAATATAGAAAAAGAAAATTGTATTTTTCCTAGCACTTTTTCATGAATTTTTACTATATTTTACCTGTTTTTTGAGGTTAGGAAATTCCTGTGATGTGATAGCTCAATTCTGACACAGGATTCGTGATCAGGAAGCAAAAATACTACAGATAACATATGTCGCATGAAAAATACAGACAACTTTTCTTTTTTTGTGTGGCTGTGTAATCAAACAAAAAATTGTTTAATGCAACCGAAATATTTACGTATTTATTTAGACCTAGTCTACTTTTGAGTAAATTTTTAATTGTTTTGACTGTATTTTTCGCAGCTCGATTAGATTGCGTAATAAAAGATGCAGTAATTTTAAATTTAATACTTTTCTTTTTAAATTTGTTGCTGGTAAAATGTCTGGCATTGTTCTATATAATCTTGTTTGGCAAACCGAATCGAGTAAATATACTGTTTAAAGCTTATAATCTAAAACTAGCTGATAACATACAAGGTCTGTATAGAAAATAATGGATCTTATTGAATTATGCGGTAATGGAGATATTTAATGATATGCGGTTGGCAGCACTGTGTTGCACGCAACCCCCTCTATAACCACATGTTCTTGGATTGTTCATATCTCATTCAGTTTTCATGGTATTATTATTTGAGTACGTTTTTAAGTGTTAATGATGATTTTTGAAATGTGCGATTTTCTGGAACAACGATGCAAAGTAAAATTTTGCTTGAAAGCGGGGAAAACTTTCACGAAAACGTTTCTATTTTTGCAACAAGGTTATAGGGAGACGATACTCTGGGCAAGACAATTCATGATTCTATGACAATGCGGCCGCACACTCAGCTCTGTCAATTCGAGAGTTTTGTGCCAAAAATCAGATTATTGTCCTCTTCTACACTCCTTACTCGCCAGACCTGACTCCTTGTGATTTTTTCTTATTTCCAAAATACAAATCAATACTGAAAGGACACCGTTTTCATAAATAAGTAAATAAATCAAAGCAAATTCGTCAGACTTTGGGGGCCATTTCAAATGAAGCTATCCAGAAGTGCTTCGCGAAATGGAAAATTAGCGAAAATATAAGAGAAACTCGAAAAAAGTCATATCCGCTAGATTATTGTAAAATTGTCTAAAGGAACATAATACAAGACATCTCTCGTCTCGTGAGTCAAAAACTTTTATTAGCTAACTTTTCTATTTAAAAAAATAAGTGAGGAAAACAGTTTTTTCACTTTGCAGGGAAAACCATCAATTTTAACGAAAAGTGACTCACAGACAGATTATAGGGAGTAAAATTATCTACAAAATGAGACTAGTTAAATTAAAATCGGTTAACAAAAAAGTTATTGCAAAAAAACAAGAAAAGTGCCCATTTTTTCATTTGTTTATAACTATCGCATTTATTGTTAAAATTTTATAAAACCTATGACAAGTTGAGGGTTTTGTCATACTTTAAAAGTGTGCCAAAAGTGGGCGCTGTAGGTGCAATAGTTTTCGCACAATTCTATTTGTTTATAGCGGAGGCTCCAAAAGTTATGAACAAAATATTGAAAAAACAAGCTTACTTTGCCTTAATATGTAAAAGGAATAACGTTTTAAATGAACGATAGCTTCATTTATTTATTTAATAATAGTAAAATAATACCGAAATTGAAATTTTAATTAATATTTCGTTTAACAATAATTTTTGCGACAATTTTGTAAATTAAAAAAAATTAAGTCTAAAAGATACATTTTTTCTGGGGTTTAGGGCTATTCTACGAATTCGTAAATATGCCCATTGTTATTTTTTCGTCGAGCTACCCCAGTTTAAAAAAAAATAAGTTTCTACGATGAATAGAAGCCGAGATATTGCAAAATTTACAGCCCGCACTTATTTGAACTTTGGATTTAACTTTTCTCGCTCGCGCGACCGCTTGAACGAGCTTCCCCCACCACCACGCCGCCGGCCGCTGGACAGTTTACCTAGCGAGTACCTTCTCTTCAAAGGGCTCGTGAGTCGCTAATTTTCCATCTTTTTCAATGCAATTCACGGGAAATCGTAGTTTACGTCGTAAACTTTATTTTGCGAAAAATTTAAGTCTTAATATTTATAAACAATTGCGCTACGATTTTTTTTTTAATTCTTATCTTGGCTCCTGTTGGTCGTAGAGGGTACTATTTTTATTTTAAAACTGTATTTTTTTGCATCTATTTTCGGTGAGATAGATAGCATAAATAGCAACAATGTTATTCAAATTGTTTATAAGCGAAAAACGCACGGTTTTTTAATGCACAATTTGAGAATGTTAATGTCAAAAAAACGGTGATATTTTTTAATAGGCCGCTTAATTGCGTCTTTAAGATTACAATGACGCTTTCAGAATCATGTTTGATTGAAAATTAATGCCTGTTCAGAGGCTTAAAGTTCATAACTTTTGGAGCCTCCGCTATAAACAAATATAATTGTGCGAAAACTATTGCACCTACAGCGCCCACTTTCGGCACACTTTTAAAGTATGACAAAACCCTCAACTTGTCAAAATGGGCACTTTTCTTGTTTTTTGCAATAACTTTTTTGTTTATTAACCGATTTTAATTTAACTAGTCTGATTTTGTAGATAATTTTACTCCCTATAAACTGTATGTGAGTCACTTTTCGCTAAAATTGATGGTTTTCCCTGCAAAGTGAAAAAACTGCTTTTCTCACATATTTGTTTATATAGAAAAGTTAGCTAATAAAAGTTTTTGACTTACGAGACGAGAGATGTCTTGTATTATGTTCCTTTAGACAATTTTACAATAATCTAGCGGATAGGACTTTTTTCGAGTAAAAATTTAATTTGCTTGGTCTAATAAGAGGGGGGAGTACTTTGAACGAGATAGTTCAGTTATTTTCTGAACAGACCTCATACAACTAGTTGTAATAATATATGTCGGGAAAGTCTCTACCCATTATAGGGAAATGTTTATTTAGAAACGGTTTCCTGTAATCAATATGGATTCTAGGAAATAAATTTTCTAGGAGTTCGATTCAGATTTTGGACGGTTTTTCATTTATAACTATTAGCTAATTTTCAAATAAGTACCTTTATTTATATTAGTCCGAAAAAATATAATATGGCAATAGGTTTAATTTTTACAATTCCTAGGTGAGATGTGCATCGGAACAAACTTCGAATTTTCAACAATTCTGGAATAATTATAAATTGAGTAAGAGTATTACGAATCCCATAAAACTGTTTAAATTTTTTATCAATCTTTGCAAATTTTGGCTAACCTTTCTTCACAATTTTTTATATATCTTGTAAATATATCTTGTAAATCTTTATCTGCTACGGTAGAATACTTAATTAGTTAAAAATTTGTTGATGTTATAGCATTATCGTAAAGAAATTTACATAATGTACGTCTACTAAATCACAATGTACATTTTTGTCGGTATTTATTGGCAACATAGATAAAAAAATCACGTATTATACTGTCTACGTAGAATGTTTGGAGAAAATCGAGAAATTCTTTTCAAAATGATTAAAAATGAATATCAGTTGTTTATTATCTGTCATTAATATACATTCTTTATTATACAGGTAGATATTGATTAAATTTACATAGTCCAAAAATAATTGATAAACCTTCTGCTTCGATTTGCGCATCTTTCTTTTCAGAGTTGGTCAAAGTTCGAGAAGCATACCTGTATTTAAGCAATAGGGTTTTCGCTTTGGATGAGATATGTGACAGCGTTGCTCCAAAGCCATATGGACTTGTATCGTAGTAAATTTTAACTCATGCTCAGAATTATATTTGACATCAGCTGACATCAGAATATTCTTTATTTTGTTAAACACCTCCTCACATTTACTAGATCAAATTCACATAACATTTTTTTTATAAAAAAGTTGCCCTAAAATAACTAATATCTTTATAAAAAAATGCCTTTTTCGGCTAATACTTTTAATCCGGCATTTTGTAATCTACTTAACAATATGTCGTCTAAAAAGTAAACACAACTCTAATACCCTCTATTATAGATACTATTTTTTTAATTTCATGGGCGCACAAGCTACCCCCCCACGTCAATTTTTGGTAACTCTTTATATATCTTGAGGTCAATTTAATTTGGCAAACATGACGCTGCCTTACATTTTTGAAAATAAATGTGTTATCGGTAAATGAAACTTATCAATTAATATTTATAGAAATTTTAAAATCACCGCAAATTGTCACTGAATTTTTCATAAGGGAACAGTGAATGTGGCCCAAAGAGAATAATCCGCAGTTTGAGTACATATACTTCAACTAAATAATTCAGAGATACCAAAAGCAATTTTTTTCATTTGAGGATAATAAAACCTTGTGCAATAAATACCGACTTTATGATGTTACTAAAATATCACGATAAAATGTGATTTGATCAAAATAAACTTCTAAGCCACTAGTATTAATTTGCCCTACAAAAACATTATTAACAGAATAACAGTATTGCAAAGTAATTGACTTACGGGAAAATGTTATATTCGCACATTAAGAAGTATTTAAATAAAGGTGATTTTTGTAACACCAATTCTGCAATAGAGTGAATTGTTCTTGAACACAAAACAATCATCTAAATTTATAATAGAAGTAGATATACATATAGTATTGAATCGCCGGCAAACATCAAACTATTACCATCTAATGCATCACATAAATCATTGACGAAGATCAAAAAGAGGAAGGGTCCCGAATTGTATGCTTGAGGGACGCTACTAGTTGCAATATAAATATCTAAATAAAAATAATTGTAACAGACAAGTTGCTTGCGATTTCTTAAATATGATTTTAGAAGTAACAAATATTTATTAAGAAAGACGCGAAATTTTCCTGAGTAGTGCATTGCGGCATATTTTGTCAAAAATCTTGGAGAAATCCTTATAGATTACATCTATTTACCATTTGTTGTCTATTTCGTTATATTTTGTTTTGTTTTTTCATGTTGTGATATAGTTAAAAGTGTCCCATTATAGCAATCGAGGTACCTACCTAATAATCTAATATTAGGAAATGATTTGCATTATAATAATTTTCACAGAATTTAAGTTATTTATACAAGTATGTAATGACACTTATCTTAGATATCTTTTTTGGTTTTCAAGATATCGAACTGGGAAGTTTTAATTGGAACATCCTGTATAGTTTTCTCTAATACATTCACACTCTACAAATTAAAATTAACATTTCTTAGTTTCTTTGAGTCCCACCGAATTTGGCCCTCTGGATTGGTGGTGGGGGAACACTGTGACAAGCCCAGTCATTGGCGCAACACGCGAACCCTCTCCTCCTGGATGCAACAAGAAAATATTCCTGGCATCCAGGGTGTCGATACTAGAGAGTTAACTAAGAAAATCAGAGAGAAAGGAACCATGCTAGGCCGTATAGTCCACTCTTTACCAGTAGACACTAAAAACGTAAATATTATCGATCCCAATACTCGGAATTTGGTGGCAGAAGTCTCCATTAAGGTGATGAGGTTAGATTAGGATCTGTTTGACGTTTCTGCAACACTTGTATTTTAGGAACCAGTAACATACAATCCCTTGGGATCTCCGAGAATTTGCGCCGTTGACTGCGGTTTGAAGTACAACCAAATCCGTTGTCTGATCAACAGAGGTGCTAGAGTAGATCTTGTACCCTGGAATCATCCTTTAAACATCAACGAATTTGACGGTCTCTTTCTGAGTAACGGCCCAGGAAACCCAGAGATGTGCAAAGCCACTATAAAAAACATCCAATCAGTTTTGAACGATCCCCAAATAAAACCAGTTTTTGGTATTTGTTTAGGTCATCAACTGCTTTCTATGGCCATAGGCTGCACTAGCTACAAAATGAAGTAAGTCAATTACAAATATAGCTAAAAAAATTGTTCACATTCTTCTTCCAGATACGGCAATCGTGGTCACAATCAGCCATGTATCCACCATGGTACGGCAAGGTGTTATATGACTTCGCAAAATCATGGTTTCGCAATTGATACTAAAACATTACCAGAAGGGTGGGAGGAATTATTCACTAACGCTAATGACAAAACAAATGAAGGTATCGTTCACTCTACTTTACCTTATTTCAGTGTCCAGTTTCATCCGGAACATATGGCTGGACCTCAGGACCTGGAGATTTTGTTTGATGTTTTCTTAAACACCGTTAAAACTCACAAGATCGATCAGTGTCATGTAAAAACCCTACTTACGGAAAAACTAAAGTATGACTTCGACAGTCGGTTGTTACCTGAACGACCCAAGAAGGTTTTAATAATAGGTTCTGGCGGTCTCTCCATCGGCCAAGCAGGCGAGTTTGATTATTCTGGTTCGCAAGCCATAAAGGCACTTAAAGAAGAAAACATTCAGACTGTGCTGATCAACCCTAACATCGCCACCGTACAAACATCCAAAGGTCTTGCTGATAAAGTGTACTTCCTCCCCCTAGTTCCAGAATATGTAGAGCAAGTTATTCGTTCCGAGAGACCAGGAGGAGTTTTGTTGACATTCGGTGGACAGACGGGCCTTAACTGTGGAGTAGAGTTAGAAAAATTGGGCATTTTCAACAAATACCGTTGTAAAATTTTGGGCACTCCCATCCAAGCCATTATCGATACAGAAGACAGGAAAGCCTTCAGTGAAAGGATTGCGGAAATCGGTGAAAAGGTCGCTCCAAGCATGGCTGCACATTCCGTGGAAGAAGCTTTGGACGCAGCAGAACAACTTGGCTATCCCGTGATGGCTAGAGCTGCTTTTTCCTTGGGAGGTCTGGGATCAGGTTTTGCTAACAACAAAGAAGAGTTAAGAGCCCTTGCGTTACAAGCATTGGCCCATTCCAGCCAATTGATAATAGATAAGTCTCTTAAAGGATGGAAGGAAGTGGAATATGAAGTAGTTCGTGACGCCTTTGACAATTGCATAACCGTGTGCAATATGGAGAATGTTGATCCTCTAGGGATCCACACTGGAGAATCTATCGTCATAGCACCTAGTCAGACACTATCAAACAAAGAATATAACATGTTGAGAACCACTGCTATAAACGTCATAAGACATTTCGGAGTGGTCGGAGAATGCAACATTCAATATGCATTAAATCCTAATTCAGAAGAGTACTACATAATAGAAGTAAACGCTAGATTATCAAGAAGCTCCGCACTCGCCAGCAAAGCTACTGGATACCCTTTGGCTTATGTAGCAGCTAAACTAGCGCTGGGGGTACCCCTACCTAAAATTAACAACTCGGTAACAGGAGTTACAACTGCTTGTTTCGAACCAAGCTTGGATTACTGCGTCGTGAAGATACCCAGATGGGATCTGCACAAGTTCTCTAGAGTTAGCACCAAAATCGGCAGCTCTATGAAAAGTGTTGGTGAAGTTATGGCTATTGGCCGAAAGTTCGAGGAAGCCTTCCAAAAGGCTTTGCGAATGGTTGACGAGAACGTCACTGGATTTGACCCTTACCTAAAACCAGTTAACGATGAAGAACTGAAGGAACCTACGGATAAAAGGATGTTTGTTTTAGCAGCAGCTTTAAAAAGTGGTTACACCGTCGATAAATTATACGAATTTACAAAAATTGATCGTTGGTTTTTACAAAAGATGAAGCACATTATAGACTATTTCACGTTGATGGAAACTATGGATCAGAACAGTTTGACGCATGGCACCTTACTCAAAGCAAAACAAATGGGTTTTTCCGACAAGCAGATCGCCGCTGCCGTGAAAAGTACTGAGTTGGCCATAAGAATGCAACGAGAAGAACTTGGTATAACACCATTTGTGAAACAAATAGACACTGTGGCAGCCGAATGGCCCGCCACTACTAACTACCTTTATATCACATATAACGCTACTTCTCACGACTTGGAATTTGCCGAAGAACACACGATGGTGATAGGTTCAGGAGTATATCGAATCGGAAGTTCTGTAGAATTCGACTGGTGCGCTGTAGGATGTTTGAGAGAACTTAGACGATTAAACCATAAAACCATAATGGTCAACTACAACCCAGAAACAGTCAGTACCGACTACGACATGTCTGACAGGTTATATTTCGAAGAAATCTCATTTGAAGTGGTCATGGACATATACAACCTCGAAAACCCTCTGGGAATTATACTGTCGATGGGTGGTCAGCTACCCAATAACATAGCTATCGATTTACATAGGCAGCAGGCTAAGATTCTCGGTACTTCCCCTGATTCCATAGACGGTGCTGAAAACAGGTTTAAATTCTCCAGAATGCTGGATAGAATCGGTATAATGCAACCGAGGTGGAAGGAGTTGACCAACTTAAAGTTGGCAATAGAGTTTTGCGAAGAAGTCGGATATCCGTGCCTGGTCAGACCATCCTATGTGCTCAGCGGGGCAGCTATGAATGTGGCACACTCAAATCAAGACCTGGAAACTTACCTCAACGCCGCTAGCGACGTCAGCAAAGAACATCCGGTGGTGATCTCCAAATTTATCCTAGAATCCAAAGAAATCGACGTAGACGCGGTGGCCTGCGACGGTATCATTCTGTGTATGGCCGTCTCCGAGCACGTTGAAAACGCCGGTGTCCATTCTGGAGACGCCACTTTAGTAACACCACCTCAAGACATCAACTCTGAAACCTTGGCAAAGATTAAACATATAGTAAAGTCCATAGCGGCTTCCTTGGAGGTCACTGGACCTTTTAACATGCAGTTGATTGCCAAGGATAACGTCCTTAAAGTGATTGAATGCAATGTGAGGGTGTCCAGATCATTCCCTTTCGTTTCGAAGACCTTGAACCACGACTTCGTTGCTATGGCAACAAGAGTAATAGTGGGAGAAGCAGTGGAGCCTGTTGATGTTTTGCATGGATGTGGAAAAGTCGGAGTTAAAGTTCCTCAGTTCTCCTTCTCCCGATTAACGGGGGCTGATTTTATGTTGGGGGTGGAGATGGCGTCCACCGGAGAAGTGGCATGCTTTGGAGAGAACAGATATGAGGCATACTTAAAGGCTATGATGAGCACTGGTTTTTGCATCCCAAAGAATTCCATTCTGCTGTCGATTGGCAGTTTTAAGGTATTACCCATTTATCTATTTTTTTTAAATATTAATGTGACTTTTTTTAGCATAAAATGGAACTTCTACCGAGTATGAGGTCATTGCAAAAAATGGGATACAAGTTGTATGCAAGTTTGGGAACTGCGGACTTTTACAATGAGCAAGGAGTTGATGTAAGTACTTATTTGTTTAGCTAAGTTGCTTATATGCTGATAGATTATTATTTATACAGGGTGTTAAAAAAAGAGTGTAAAATATTTAAGGAGGTAATAGTATGAACCAAAATAAGCAGAAAAGTCCCAATAAACATGGGTCCGCAAAGTAACGGTTGCGGAGATATGGAATGTTTTATGTTTTTTAGCCCCTTTTTTTATTTTGCAAAAACGTTGTGTATTTTCTTATAATAGTTGGTTGATGTTTAGTGAAATAAACAGTACGTATTTGACAGTTGTTCTCAGTGCACAAGTTTTCTTTCGCTATGGCTGGTTACTCTAACGCAGAATTAACAGACATGCATTTCATGTATGGTCGTGCTAATGGGAACGCCACCGAAGCGCGACGTCTTTATGTTGACGCTTATCCAAATCGCCAGATTCCTTCACAACGCATGTTTGGAAGAATTCACCAAAGATTGCGTGATACCGGTTCCTTGAGCAAACAGTGCCATTTATCCGGAAGACCAAGGTCGGTATCCACTCCTAGAGCAGAAGAAGAAATTCTAGCACTGGTAGAGCAGAATCCAGGTACGAGTGTGCGGAGAATATCAGCCGAGGTAGGAATTAGTGGTCCTCTTGTTTGGAGAATCCTTCACGAGCAACTGCTTTATCCATACCATGTGCAACGAGTACAGGCCTTAAATCCAATAAATGATCATCAAGCACGTTTGGTTTTTTGCCGCTGGTTTCTACGTCATGATGCTGAAGACCCTCGTTTTCTTGCAAACATTCTTTTTACTGATGAGGCCGGGTTCACAAGAAATGGAGTGTTTAATTTTCACAATACGCATATTTGGGCCGACGAAAATCCTCATGCTCTAATAGAATCTGGACATCAGGCACGTTTTTCATTAAACATTTGGATGGGTATTGTAGGTGACAGGTTTCTAGGTCCTGTTGTTTTACCAAACCGATTAACAGGCGCTGCTTACCTCAACTTTCTGCAGAACACACTGTATGAGTTTTTGGAAGACATTCCTTTGAATCAGAGGCAACAAATGTGGTTCCAGCATGATGGTGCTCCAGCTCATTTTTCCATGGCCGTTAGAGAGCATTTACACCAAACTTTTCCACATAGATGGGTAGGAAGGGCCGGACCTGTTTTATGGCCTCCAAGATCGCCTGATCTGAACCCTCTAGATTTCTTTGTTTGGGGATATTTGAAGACATTAGTGTATGGTACTCCTGTAAATAGCCTGGAAGAGCTGCAGCTACGGATTAATCAAAAGTGTCAAGAAATCCAAACCAAGGAGGGTGTTTTCGAAAGAGTTCGAATATCGTTGAGACGAAGATGTCGTGCCTGCTTGGAAATGGACGGAGGGCACTTTGAACATCTTCTGTAACTTTGTTTTTTGTTTGTTAAAAGCTTCCTTTGTCGGTTTATTCCTAATAAAATAAAATGTTTGAAAAACGAATAGTGGTCCATATCTCCGCAACCGTTACTTTGCGGACCCATGTTTATTAAGACTTTTCTGCTTATTTTGGTTCATACTATTACCTCCTGAAATATTTGACACTCTTTTTTAACATCCTGTATAAAAGATAAATTTATAAAATTTTAGTTACCGCAAATATGAAATAACTCAAGTTTAAAATAAATAGCCAATCATTAGTAAGTTCAAAATGGAAAAGTTTTAGTATTTACTTAACATAAAGACTGTTTGAAAATTTTTTTTGCGATTTATTTCACCGACACTTCCAACAGGTTTTTTACATGAATTTTAAGGCGGAACAAAAAAAATCAACATGTTTGTAAAGAGAATTGAAATACATTTAAAATGATGTGCCACTTAACCCCCCTTGTTATTTAAGATTCTTGAAGGGGTTGCCACCACGTTTAGGGGGATGGTCTGACATCGGGGTTTTCCGGAAAAACCTATTGCATTGAATATATTTCAGGTGGACTGTTTTAATTGGGCCACCCTGTATATTATTATCTATACAGGCTGTTTCTGAAATAAGTACGTAAGGGTGATAGAGGTCACGAAAATGAGCAACTTTTATTAAGCAACTGATGATCTAAATGCTTCTGTTTTCGAGAAAATGAATTAAGAAAATTAATCATAAATGGAAGTCGACCATGCGCATCTTGTGCACGTGCACGGCTTAAATGCTTCAGACTCGCTAGATGCGTCAAACGCTTTTCTAATTGGCTGACGTTCCATGTGACTTACACAATCAAGCAAATCTGCTAGTAGGTCAATGTATCTTGTGTTCTTTAGTTGTGTGTTGCTGTATTAGTCGGCGTATAAAATGTTTTCTGTTCAGGAACTAACAGATATGGTCTTAATGTACAGAGAATGTCAGTACAATTTAAATGAGACTTGTCGTTTGTATGGTCCGTTATCGAAACAGACGACAACCTAACAGTAGAATAGTGCAGAAGGCAGTTCAAATATTACAGGATACCGGAAATGTCCACTTGACATATGAAGTGGACGGAAAAGGCCGTAACATGTTTTCGACAACGAAGAAACATCATAAACCTCGTTGAGAAAGATCCGAGGCGCAGTACTCTCGACATTAGCCGAGAAGTAGGTGTATCTAACAGTTCAAACATCATAAAGGTGTGAAATGGACAGCATGTAGCCCGGATATGAACCCTCTGGACTTTTTTGTTTGGAGGTACATATATGAAATAAAATGTGTACCGAATGCCTATTGATGCAGTAGATCTTCAACAGCGTATTTTTGCTGCAGCTAATGAAATTTGACAATTCCCGGGAGTATTTGCACGTGTGCGGACTAATTTTGACCGTCGCGTCATTTGGAAGCATGTTCATTAGCACATGGAAACAACTTTGAAGAATTTTTGTAGAGCATATTATCGTTTATTGGTAAGTAATTCGTTTATTCGTTTAATTTTTTTTTATTTTTAATCGAGTTTTGAATAAATTTCAGCTTTTTTTTCAATTTAAAGCGNCATTTGGAAGCATGTTCATTAGCACATGGAAACAACTTTGAAGAATTTTTGTAGAGCATATTATCGTTTATTGGTAAGTAATTCGTTTATTCGTTTAATTTTTTTTTATTTTTAATCGAGTTTTGAATAAATTTCAGCTTTTTTTTCAATTTAAAGCGTTATGGTTTAGTTGCTTAATAAAAGTTGCTAATTTTCGTGCCGTCTATCAAACTTTCCAAGGAACGCTCTTATTTCATAAACACCCTGTATAAATAAAAATTAAATGCTGTTCGGTGGTAAGCGCATCACTTGAGAACGGCTGGACCGAATTAGCTATTTTTTTTTAAATCTTCGAATAGAGTGTTTAGGGAAAGAAAAATTGAAAAAGTTTTCCGGAAAATTATAGAGTTCGGGAAATAGTCCAGTTGGTAGAGGTTCGGTGTGTGTCATACCTTGATAACCCGGAAATAACTACACAGGTCTACTTTAAATGATGAGTACAATAACAGGCTAATTTGCTGACAAAGTATTTTATCAGGAAAAGAGTTATTAACAATTTAATAGCGAAAAAAATTTTTTTTTAGTACTTTTCTTTAAACTCAGCGGGATGACTTTGTACGAAAAAATGCTTAGGACATGATTTTATTCGTAATAAAAATAGCTACAAAATGGCGGTGGTCCGATTACGAAATTTGCAATAACAAAGCCGTGAGATTGAAAAAACGGTATAAAACGCCAATTTTTTTAAGTTGCTGTAAAAATGTCAATTATAAACAAAAAGTGATAAAACTTTCGAAAACTATAGTTCAATATATATACAATAATGACGCTAAAGCCGAAAATCAGGAGAGCAAAACTTTTTGTTCTATAAGGTGTTATACATTCATCGGCATCTGAAACTCGAAACTTTGCCAAATTTGTTCGAAGCTTTGCTGACACTTGAAATTTGGTACACACATAGTGTAAATATGCAGAAACCAAAAGCAATTTGCAAAATTCAAGTATCTTCATTTTTGCAGTTTTGGTAAGGTTTTATACGTCACCCTAGTTTTATACGTCACCGTTTTTTTAATTTTTGGACGTATATTTATGTATATTTATAAAATATTCCATTACGGTAGATTAGCCAGCATAATTACCTACAATTTAAAAAAATATATATTTTCATCGTTTAGATCCTAAGCTACTTAACATTTTGCGCCTGTTAGCCGTAGTCGTACATTATTCAACATATTAACATAAAACAAAATCGTACGTGTGGGGTAAACCTTTAACTTTAAGTAAACAATTGTTTAAATTTACTGTTGCATATTTCTAATAGTATACAAGCGCCGAAGAGCGGAGCTCGCGCTCGAAAATGAAAAGTTAAAGGTTTACCCCACACGTACGATTTTGTTTTATGTTAATATGTTGAATAATGTACGACTACGGCTAACAGGCGCAAAATGTTAAGTAGCTTAGGATCTAAACGATGAAAATATATATTTTTTTAAATTGTAGGTAATTATGCTGGCTAATCTACCGTAATGGAATATTTTATAAATATACATAAATATACGTCCAAAAATTAAAAAAACGGTGACGTATAAAACTAGGGTGACGTATAAAACCTTACCAAAACTGCAAAAATGAAGATACTTGAATTTTGCAAATTGCTTTTGGTTTCTGCATATTTACACTATGTGTGTACCAAATTTCAAGTGTCAGCAAAGCTTCGAACAAATTTGGCAAAGTTTCGAGTTTCAGATGCCGATGAATGTATAACACCTTATAGAACAAAAAGTTTTGCTCTCCTGATTTTCGGCTTTAGCGTCATTATTGTATATATATTGAACTATAGTTTTCGAAAGTTTTATCACTTTTTGTTTATAATTGACATTTTTACAGCAACTTAAAAAAATTGGCGTTTTATACCGTTTTTTCAATCTCACGGCTTTGTTATTGCAAATTTCGTAATCGGACCACCGCCATTTTGTAGCTATTTTTATTACGAACAAAATCATGTCCTAAGCATTTTTTCGTACAAAGTCATCCCGCTGGGTTATTTAAAGAAAACTACTAAAAAAATATTTTTCACGATTAAATTGTTAATAATTTTTTTTCCTGATAAAATACTTTGTCAGCAAATTAGCCTGTTATTGTACTCATCATTTAAAGTATTCCTGTGTAGTTATTTCCGAGTTATCAAGAAAATGTCACCAACAGTAACTTTTCGGCCTCTGCCGACTGGAGTAAAAAACTAAAAGTGCTCATCATAAACTTTATTGAAATTGAAGCGTCTGTCGGGTCAGCTAGTGAGACATAAATTTATAAAATTTTAATAATGAAACATGAAATAATGCCAGTTTTATAAAAAAAAATATTTATTTAAAATAAATAGCCAATATAATTATATACAAATGTACAATTGATAAAAATCACATCACTAGTAAGTCCAATATCGAAAAGTTTCAGTATTTTTTTTTTAATGGCTTTCTACAAACATCACGCTTTTACGTGGCTTTACAACACCATTGACCTTGGGCACCTTCTCGGTGCTACTACATGCCTCATTGTTATTGCTACTATTCGAAATCTGTGTATTGGTACTAAAATGCACCCCACCATTCTGGACGACACGAGGGCTACTCTTCTCTCTGACAGCCTTCTTGTTGCACTCGTCTTCAAGCGCCTGTATCTGTTTGACATACTCCTGTTCCTCCACTTCTAAAGCGGGACACTCGTCTTTCATGATTCTAGTCAAGTACCTGGCCTGCTTCAAGTAGAGCAAAGTCTGCCTGTGGGATGATATCTGCGAACATTTTTTAGCGATTTCGATGAAGTTGTTGATGAAGAAAATCAGCAGGGCCCTCGTCTTGTATACGTCAAACTGCCTGTCACACGTCCACTGAAAAACAAATAAATAAATAAGAGTACGTCTTTAAGGTACAGCGATAATTTTAATTAAAAACTTATATAATGGATACTTACTTTCAAGTCCACTGAATCAATAGATCCTCGTCTCTCCTCCTCTTCCTTTTTGAGATTCTTTTTTTCAATTTCTTCCTGCCTCTTCTTCAAGATTCTCTCCCTCTTCTGCGCCTCTTTGAAGTGTTTAACCTGAATGTCGGTATCGAGGTGCCTTATTTTCTTGAAATTCGGGGGAATATGCATGTCGGATATTAATTGGGGATTGGTTGATTGTATTCCAGTCTTGATTAGGATGTCGTACAGCTGATCGAATTCGAAAGGATGGTAGAAATGCTTTCCCCTGGTGTACCTCAAATTCCTCAGGGACTTGATAAAGCTCATGACGGGGGCCTCTAAGACCTCATGCAGCATCTTCTGGGCGTGTCGCAGATACTTCTTCGGTATGTTCTCGAACACGTTTTTTTCCTTGATGAAAAAATCGCGGAGATCACTCTTAGCTATGTGGACGTTTAAGGATGTTATGAGTGTTACTAACTTCGTTCCTAATCTATGCTCCGGCCAGTCGCTATAATTGGCTTCGCATTCCCACAGCATAAACGACCGGATGTGCTCCGCTAGCAACCCTAGTTGGAATGTATCCGGTTCTATGTAAGTCTTGTGCAGCGTTAGAAGAAATAAGTAGCATTTGGCTTGTGCGTGGGACATAAAGGTTTCTATGTATCTCTCAGCTTGTGGGAACTGAATTTCCCACTCTAGATCGCTGTCGGTGTGTTCACCCTTCTTCCTGACGTAACCCTTTGGCACCAATACGCAGTTTAGGTTTTCGATTTCGCTTATCATCCTCTGAGTGGGGAAGACGTACCTTTTGCGAGGCTCAGGCCGCTTCTGCGCTTTCATTATGAACTGAAGTGTTTGCTTGTGAGGCCAACGTAATGACAGCGCTGGTATAATCTCACAGGGGGTATGTTTGTCGCTTTCGTGGAAGCCACAGAATATCTTCCCTGGAATAGACTTTGCCAGTCTGATTTCTGATTCTTCCAACCCTAGATTTGTGCCAATGCCGTTCGGAAAGATGTTGTTTTGGAAAAATTTCATAAAACCTTTAGAATTTATGTAAGATGCTATGTCGTACAGGTCCTCATCTGTGATGTTGACTATTTCCTTGTCCTCGAGGTCTGACTCCATCAGTGTCTTCTTAATTTTTCGGTGCGATATGCAAGACGGAGGGAGATTAGGCCTTCCTTCCTGCCTTCTCAGACCTTTTATTATCTCTATGGGTTTGGGAGTTTTCATATCTGTAATGGTGGAATAGCCGTAACTGTCTGAATCTGTTGAACTTCGTGAGGTGCTAGGGGTGGGTTCGCTTTTAGCTATAGGGATGTCGTCACTTTCGATGGGGACACTTGGAGGTTCCACTTCCCTTAGCTTTACATAACCTGAAATAATTAAAAAATATCTTCATGCTCTTAGTTTCTAACAAAAAGATTAACGTAAGTATTATGGATTTACGTACAAATAACCAAAATACAAAAAAAATATTGGCACCAATCTTTATTAGGAGAAAAAAACTTTTTGGCCAAAATTTTTCCATAAGTAAACACCATGGCTAGAATGTTGTTCTTGACGCAAATCAAATCGAACTTTTTAGATAACCAGCCAATTTTCGAACAATAATTGTTGTTTGAAGTGCTTAGGTGGTAAGATATGACTCGAAAAAAGCTTGTTCATTATTAATCCCACAGATAATCTCAAAGATCTTATCTTATTCGTAGAAGTCGCTAATAAAAATAATGTTTCGATTATCTCAACGGTTCTACATTGTTAGAATCATCATGATATTGGGATTAAAGTGCAAAATGAACCTACAAGGGGTTCTGCGAATGTGGGTCGAATTTAGAGGCCGAAACCGAGTGTTTAAAACCGAGAGGTGGCAACAAGGTTATGCCTTTTCATTTCCGATGGAATGCGCTTTTAAATTGACGATGACAATTTTTTTTTGGTGATAAAATGTTTGATATGCAATCATTATCTATCCAGCTGGGCTTAACTTTGATTTGGGATTTCCAGTGTGTTAATCTCAATTTACACAACACTCGAATGAGTAATACAAGAAGCATTACGCATCTGGTAATATTATCCAAAACCAAATGCAAGTAAAAATGGTTTATCTCTGACTAACACTGAATATACTCTTATAGATGCTACCAATCAGAATCGTTTTAAGGAAAAATGTTTCTCGAAATTCTAAAAGGTTTAGTTTTCGAGATAGAAAAATGTCACATTTGGACAAATATCTGGAAAGATGTTTAATATACAGGGTGTCCCTGAAAAGGATGGACAACGCTTGACCACAGGTTCCTTGGATGAAAATAAGACTATTTAGCTTAACTTACGTATATACAAAAGTGCACGCCTACTGAGATATAGCCTTCTAAATATAGAATAGATAACCTAGTTTTTTCAAATAATTTGAAAACTATTTTTCTTAGAAACTTCAAATTTGATACACTTATTTTCTTTATGTAAGGGCAAGGTAAATATAGAATTTGGTGAAAATACATATACAGGATGTTCTCTTTCTAGTGCCTGTGCGCCACTGGCTAACCCGTAACTTTTTTGTGTGTGCGCCAATGATGACAGAATTTATATTTTTAAAAATAAGCATTAATTTAGAAGATTTTTTGTTCTTACAAAATTTTGATATCGTTTATGGATTTCGAGTAAAACTGGCATTTTTATACATTAAATATAGGCAAAAATTCCGATTTGTAAAAAATAATTTATAACTGCAGTCTCAAAACAGGGAATAATAATGAAAAAACGTCACATTAAAAAAAATAACTACACATTTTTAGTATTAGTATTATCAATCAATAAAATAAAAATCAACACTAATATTTTAAATAAACAGTATCAACTAATAAAGTAAGAAAGTCAACATTAACATTTTAAATAAACCTAAATTGATAGTTGTAATCACATTAAAATAATATTACAGTAAATGCTCAAAGTTACTTCCTTGTTCTTAAACGCAAGCCTTAGTTCTTCGAAAATGAAAATGAATTTTATCCAATAATTGTGCATTACCTCTCATAACACTAATTTCACGTTGTATTCTTTCCCATTATTCATTTTCTGTATTTACTGAAAAGTTATAAACTGTGATCCGCAACGCTCCCCAAAGGAAATAATTAGATGGATTTAGGTCCGGGGATCGAGGTGTCCAGTTTAAAGGGGAATTATTTTCTATACCTATCCACCTGTTAGTATAGTAACCTGTAATAACTAGTCTTTTAATACTCTCTTAAAGAAACTTTTTGAAAGCCAACCTCTGCCGCTAAGCGCCTTTTATTTACTTGAGGAATTTCTTCGACCCTTTCCAAAATTTGTTCCTCCAGCTGAATAGTTCTGGCTGTACATTATCCACTTATTATTACTTCAATTAAAAGTTGTGATTTGGAATTCGTCGATTAGGAAAACTCAGCATATGTTCGAACAGCAGCACAACAATTTCCTTCACAATAACCCAAAACTAATAACATATCAGTTTGTTCAGCAAAAGTATAAATTGCAATAAAAAATAAAGTAAACTAAAATTAAATCACAGCTAGCTTGACACTGAACCTTTTAATTATTGTTATGAATTTGTTTCTTTGTTATAAGGCACCTCGTACTATAGACTATTCTATTTATCTTATACTAATTTTATATCATTTAATGTGTAAAAATGCCCATTTTACTCGAAATCCATAAACGATATCAAAATTTTGTAAGAGGCAAAAAATAGTGCTTATATTTAAAAATACAAATTCTGTCGTCATTGACGTACACACAAAAAAATTACGGGATAGCCAGTGGCGCACAGGCACTAGAAAGAGAACATCCTGTACGTGTATTATCACCAAATTCTATATTTACATTGCCCTTATATAAAAAAATATGTATACAAAATTTGAAGTTTCTAAGAAAAACAGTTTTCAAATTATTTGAAAAAAACTAGGTTATCTGTTCTATATTTAAAAGGCTATATAACAGTAGGCGTGCACTTTTGTATATAGGTAAGTTGGGCTAAATAGTCTTATTTTCATCCAAGGAACATGTGGTCAAGCGTTGTCCATCCTTTTCAGGGACACCCTGTATGTTACAGCAAAACAGATCACTTAGTTATCAATTATATCCAGTTGGTTAAAAATCTTAATATCTTTCCATATGACCTACATATTACATTTCGATAATGCACGATGTCTAGATCAGATTGTCAAGAAACTTACCACAAACAAATACAAACTAATATGACTACAAATTGGTAATCAATCTTCCATATACAAGTGCTTCGGCGTGACAACGTGAAGTGTTTCTTTTTTTTGGTTTTGTGAAACTTTCCTGATATATAATCATTTGCCTGAGTGTGAGTAAATCCTTCTCATCCTGATTAGTAATGTTATCTTTATGTAAGATTTAAAATATATTAAAAATGTTTTAATGTCAAATTGAAACCATTGAGTCTGGAATTAATGGCATATTAATCTAAATTTAACGGGATTAAGTGAAAAACGGTAGGTACTTAAAGGAGTTAAGATATATCAGAATCATGATGTTAGTTTTCTTAGTATTAAATAATCTTCATACTAATATAGATATGCTAGTTATTGTAAACCACTGACCAACTTTTTTCGTGTTGATTGACTGATATTTTAATATAATAATAAATTTTTTGTTTCCCTTTTGAAGGGAAGAAGATTGGATCACCTAGTTGATCTTTTTTATTGTTGTGCTTGTAGGACTAACTTTTTCATGTTGAATTTTTTGAATTTTTAAATACGTAAAAATATTTGAGAAGCTGATTCCTTACATAATTTTAAGGACTTCGTATAAACCTGTGTCTTTAGCGACTTAGCTTGCAGGATGCAGGATGTTAATACTTTTGCAAATATCTCTGAAGATACTCGACGTAGACTGATGAAACTTTGGTTAGGGAATTAACTAAATAAAGGTAAAAATTTAATGAACTTATGTACAATTATATCAACCACTATCTGATATATGGAGGGCCACAAGAAATTTCATTTCATAATTCCTAATAATACAGTTCCACAAAAAAAATAAAAGTCTTGTGCAAATGACCAGAATATATTATTCCCATGTAATTTGAGCCGCTAAATTCGAATCAGTTGTCAGAATTGCCCCAGCAAGTCACCAGAATTTTCCGGAAAACGAGTTTTCCTGAAAACGAACCATTTTTGAGTTACCACTTTCTTGTATCTACAATAAGCAGTTTGCACAGAGAACATTAGGTATTTTTCATATAATAATTTGAAAATGTTTAAAATTGTTTCCGAATAAAATAAACGAGATTTGTTTATTTATAATTAGAAATCAAAGGCACCGAGCGAATTTCCAAAATACTCAATGGCGGCGTCTAAATTTTCAGGTTCTTTGTGACTCCCAGTTCCCAGTATACCCGCCGTTGGTGAACATAATATACCAGTTCAGTGAATTTTAATTTTTATGTAGTTGCCTTTACGCCAAATTTTGAAAGTCTACGTCAAACATCTTCAGAGATATTTGAGTAAATATTATTTTTTCGAAACCTGTAACGCCCCGTATCTCAAAAGCCGTTTAGAACATAGGTCCGTACGAATTTGGCTTCTTAAAATGATAAAACCTACTGAAATATTTTTACGTATTTCGGTTTTTCATTAACAAAGTGATCCTTACCCTTCCTTGAAGAGTCCTCTAGTCTCACTGTTGCTTTTCTTTCATAAGATGAAGAGCTTTCGAAAGTCGTTACAACTTGCACCACGTCGTTAATCACATATAGTCTCTTAGGAGCTAACGTTTCCGAGTTGTATTTCTTTGGTCCATGTAGAGGACGATATAGCACGTTTCTATTCACGTGTTCCAGTAGTAGGTCAGGAGCTATGCAATCCATGTCCTTGCGGTATCTTTTAGGGGACATTTCTTGAAGTTCCCTGCAACAAAATTGCAAATATTATTACATTGTACTTATGACATTGAGGTTCTTTTACTTGTTTTACTTTTAATTGAAATGTATTGAACTAATTCAAATAGATTTTAAGGATTCTCCTAAATTGTAAACATGCAAATGAATAAACCAAATAATATCGCATTATCGGTGGACTATGGCATTATATCCCAAACTGTTAGAGATACAGCGTGGCTCATATTATAAAAACTTGAGTAATATTTTACTGAAACTTTTCCTGAAATTAAATCTTAAGATATTTCCACTGATTCCTCAAATATACAATTTCTTTTTACTATAGCTAGTTTTACGATGTAATTTATGTATTTATACAGGGTGTCCCGTAAGTAAGGATACATGGAGCAACAGCGGATTCTATACACTAAAATATTACGACTTGCATTAGTCCAAAAGTTGATACTTAAAAAGGTACAGGACGTCAAAGTGAAGAATTTGTTTTCAGTGTTTTTCAAAAACCTTTTCAAAATTTCAGATATTTCACAAATTTTGCGAATCGGATGAATTCAAATTCGATCATAATTTTACAGTTACTTATTATTACAGAGCACCACTTGCGACACTTTTCATGTCTTTACCATGTCATAACTTTTTTGTACTTCAGTGTATCTGCCTCTTTGATTTTTTCTTATTTGTTTACCTTGCAAGTGTTGTTACGAGTAGTTATTTTCTAGAGATGTACCTTTAAAGTTAGTAAATGTAAACCATTTTCAGCAGTTGTTACATAAAATGGATAACTTTTTTTATTAATTATTATTTATTTCGTTGTATTTTATTGTTTTTTGTTTAAAAGTATGTTTTCTTTTTTTCCTGTCAGCATTTGAACTTATTACTTCAAAAAATTAAAAAAAATATATATGACATAGGCAGATACTGAGGTGCAAGACATTTTAAAGACATGCAAAGTGCCACTCTCTAATCTCTAATAAGTAACAGCAAAATGTGTGTAATACGCGTAGTTTTGAAAAAGTTATTTAAAAATAATAAAAACAATTTTTTCACTTTGACGCCCTGTATTCTTTTAAGTATCAAAAGTATAACACGCCCAACTGATTTTCTATAAATTGTACTGTTTTGATGATGCTATAATCAAATTTTTGATAGTGTTTCGTATGGTTAAGTAAGAAAAAAATTGTATTGTTCCTGTTTCGATTTGCATTGACAAACACCTCATATTTTATAGGTTCGTGTTTATTTTTTATGTGACTAAAACTACATCTCGAATTAGTAAATATCGTCAAAAATTAAGAAAGTAAATAAAAAATACCTTAAAAAAATAAAAATATGTTTCTTCAAAAATAAAACGTCTTCATCACTGAAATCAACAGGATACCTTATGTCTAGAAAATTCGTTAAAGTATTTTCATAAATCAAAAACATAAAACAAAAAGAATACTTTTTTCAAAATGTTTCCAAAATGTTTCAATCTTTGAGGAAAAATCTCTTTATTGGTCCCTAAATTTCTTTTGTAGGCTTTTCTAATGTTGAACATGAATTGGTTCAAAGCGTCAATAGAAAAGCTTTAAAGACAGTATTGCATATTGCCTTTATTCGGATGCATTTATTGATACAAATGATAAATACCTGTACACTGTTTTCTCAGTGTAATAAATCACGGGTTGTTTACTATGTTACGATGTTGTTCGAAATTTTAGTACGTTCTAATATTGATCCTTTATCATTTTACAAAATACTTAATAAGTGCTATTAATAAACAATTTGCCGTTCATAAAAAATAACGCTATCCTCAATGCAAATGCTAGAACGCGGCCATCATTTCTTTTTATATCATGTTCTTGGAACCGAGGGCACTCGAGAAGGTACTTGAGCGAATTGATCATTAAATGTGATTTTGATAAGAGAAAAAATCCGTTACTTTGCCTTATTATTTGACATTATCCGATTCAGATGATCTGATTTAACAACAACCAAATCACAATTTTAAGCCGTGCGAAAACAAATTATCAAACGAAAAAATCCATCGTTATAATCAAGTGGGCTAAGTCTAATCTATGAAAGTACAAGAAAGGGGCGATATATTACAATGAGTTATTTATAGCAGATATAAATAACAAATGTAAGTATTCTGCTCGAAATCAAATGTTTTTTTATAAATTTACTCTTGTTAAATTGTATTTTTTGAATATTTCTTTTGCAGGGTAACGATATAATTTTTAACCTAGTATAAACCTCCTGTTTTATGTCAGTAGCGTCACATTTTACTTCTATTGATATACCAGATACGTAATAAAAATCCTAGTTATCTGTGCTATTGACAAAAATTACCATTGTGCACCGGAAAAGCATTATTCAGGTTTTACTATCTAGTGTTGACTTAGCACTTTTTCTTTGTTAGTCACTTGAATAGAATAATCATTATTTTGAATTGAATCATTGAATCGATTCGGATTTATTTAAAAATTTTCATTGTGAATGAGAACGGTTGAAAAACCTTATAAGTCATAACTGATTAAATGTGAAGATCTGTTTTCACTGTTAATCACCACCCTCTTGAATTTCTAAATTGAATTAAAGGTAAAGTCCATTCTAATAACATGTAGATAAGTTTCAAGTGTGTTTTTTACATATTTGAGTAAAATCGTAGAAATATTTTGCTGCAACGATTATGGCTTTGTTTCCTATAGTAAAGTAAACTCTGTAATAAAAGTCAAAAACATTCAAGGAAAATTATGTACAAAATTTACACAATCGGAGAAATAACTAGCAACAATTTCATTAAATATAATCACTTTCTATTTGCTATGGTATACACATAATTGTGTTAAATAATGATAGTTACAAAATCTCATAAATTTTCTACGAAAATTTTTATTATAGCTTATGCTAACATATTACTATCGAAAATTTAAAACATTGTAACTGTAAATGCTATAAATTTTCTAGAAATTGTCTAGTGAAAAAGTATACAAGGTGTGGCGTATATAATCCATAGAAATTAAACTACAGCTTCCTGATGATATTTCTAATAGAAATGTCTTATACGAAAAAGTTCTATTTTCGCGTTTTTTTTTTTGTAAATTAAGGTACATTTATTCAACTAAAATGAAGGCCGACCCTGTGTTATTTATTAAAAACTTTGGAAATGTTTTTATGCGACCCGAGATGCAGCCTTATAATTTAAGTCGGTATAATCTAATACTAGTAATACTAAAAGAAGGTTAGGTTACATTGTCAAAAAATTTGTGCAGTCAACTGATTTTGTATTTGTATTGAATTCATTATTCACTTAATTATTAAATATTAAGCATCGTCCATCGACCCATCAGTGTTAAAAAGTGAAAGATTCCAGACAAAAGTTTTTATTTTGTAATTCCACGATAGTGACAGTGTAATTTTTATAAAGAAGTAAAAAATAAGAATAGCGTGCCGATTACATTAAAAACGAGATTCTTATTTCTTACTTTGCTTAATTTTTTAGTTTGTGCACAAACTAGTTTTACAATGAACCGAGAAAACAATGCATTTACTATTTCCGAACGTGTCGATATGGTGTTAGTGTATGGTGCAGCCGGAGAAAATGCGCTCGCGGCGACTAGGTTGTACCGGGAACGATGGCCACAACGTCACCCCCCATGTGCAAATACAATCCTACAGTGCGTTCAGCGGCTGCGAGATACGGGAAGTGTTATTCCTCGAGGAGAAGGACGTGGTCAGCAAGTGAACCTTAATGTTGAAGATGCAGTCTTGGAAAATCTTGAAAAAGACCCCACAATTAGTACTTGACAACTCGCATAGCAAGTAGGAGCCTCATCTCGTACCGTACACCGAATCTTAAAGCGCCAGTTGTTGCACCTCTATGCTTATGTTTGTGTAACAGATGAGGCGACATTTACCCGCGACGAAGTGAATTTCCATAATAATAATGCACATAAGGGCCGATGAATATCGCGATTGGGGAAACTCATTTTCAACATCAGTTCTCGGTAAATGTTTGGGCTGGCATAATAGGCAATGTACTTGTGGATCCCTATTTCTTTGAAGGACGACTAAACGGACCAATATATGCTGACTTTTTGGAGAACCGGTTGCCTGAATTATTGGACGATGTGGCATTACAAGTTCGGGCACGCATGTTTTATCTTCAAGATGGGGCTCCTCCACACAGTACTCGAGAAGTAACGANAATACAATCCTACAGTGCGTTCAGCGGCTGCGAGATACGGGAAATGTTATTCCTCGAGGAGAAGGACGTGGTCAGCAAGTGAACCTTAATGTTGAAGATGCAATGTTGGAAAATCTTGAAGAAGACCCCACAATTAGTACTCGACGACTCGCACAGCAAGTAGGAACCTCATCTCGTACCGTACACCGCATCTTAAAGCGTCAGCTGTTGCACCCCTATGCTTATGTTTGTGTAACAGATGAGGCGACATTTACCCGCGACAAAGTGAATTTCCATAATATGCACATAAGGACCGATGAAAATCCTCACGCGATTAAGGAAACTCATTTTCAACATCGATTCTCGGTAAATGTTTGGGCTGGCATAATAGGCGATGTACTTGTGGATCCCTATTTCTTTGAAGGACGACTAAATGGACCAATATATGCTGACTTTTTGGAGAACAGGTTGCCTGAATTATTGGACGATGTGGCATTACAAGTTCGGGCACGCATGTTTTATCTTCAAGATGGGGCTCCTCCACTCAGTACTCGAGAAGAACGACACTTTTGAATGAAATGTTTCCTCAGCGATGGATTGGACGCTTTGGTCCTGTGCCGTGGCCACCTCGGTCACCCGATCTACCTTCAATGGACTTTTATCTTTGGAGTCACTTAAAGTCATTGGATTGGTTTACAATACTCCAATTGCTACGGTGGAAAAATTGCGAAACCGTATACTTGAAGCTGCTGACACAATTAGGGGAATATCTGGAATTTCGGAAAATATTCGCAAAAATTGGGTCGGTATCATGCCTGTATCCGCGCTGATGGGGATCAATTTCAACATTTTCTATTTCATTTTGTTCCATATCTTGATGGAGTTTGTTTAGTGCACGCAGTTGGTGCATGCTTACGGGTGTGGTTTTGTTTGCGAACTCTTGCAGTAACAACAATGCATTTAAGATAGTAATTACATACTATTAATTATTATAATAAGAAAATATCAGTTTTTTTAAGATCTATTTTTTTCAGTTTGTACTTTTGCATTGAAAAATTCCCCAAAAATTGAGAAGTGTCTTTCTATCTTTCAACGACAATTTGTTTACGCGGCTGGTCTACAGCACGTAACTCATCGTACAACACACGGACAGGACCGTTCCAGAGAAAATATTTTGATTCATAATTGTACTTTAATTTACGAAAAAAAAACGCAAAAATAGAACTTTTTCGTATGAGACTTTTCTATCACAAATATCGTTAGGAAGCTATAGCTTAATTTTTATGGATTATACACGCCACACCCTGTATAATTATTCCTTTATAAGAGAAATTTATTCAAAATAATGTGCTTTATCTAAAATACAATGGAATTATTATAAAACATCTTATCCATTGCAGAAAATCAGTGGAGGAGCTGTCAACGCAATTGATTAAATTCGATTAGTGTGATTTATAACTTTGAAATGCAACGTTTTATTAAAAAGTTTTATATATTTATTTAGGATCTTTAGAAAATTAGTTAAAACTTTTTGTTTTGCTCTATCTAGATCTATTAAATACAATGCCAAAAAAATTGAACATACAATTTAATACTTTGATGTAATTCGCAAAAAGTCGTTTTCCTTCCACTTACAATATTCTTCGTTGCTTTTATTAGACCCAATTTCAGAAAAAGCCATAAAATCGTGATATTTCTATGCAATTGGCGTAAATAAGATAATTTCTATAATTTTGTTACAAGCATTTTATATCTCGCGCAGAAAACACATTTCATATCACGAGATCCAATATATATCTGCACTGAAAACATAGCTGTCTGAGATTAAGACGATATTCTTTATTTGCCAAGGTCACTCTCGCAAGCTTTTGCATTCTCGCACAAAGTTTTGAAAGGTATCAAATTGGTTTTCAGTTTAGACATAGTTTCATTGATAGTAGACGTATTATATCAGTCTATTGACGTATATCGTTTGCTAAAAGTTGCACTACATCCGAATTGAGTGTAATACGTTATTCAAGTGTTTCGTGCTGGGGTAGGACTAATTATAATAACACTATTGAACCTTACACTTTACAGTAGTTAAAAGTAGTAGATAACTTATAGATAACTAAATAAAATACCGTTACGTTGATAGAATAACTGTAATTAAGTATTAATGTATGAAAAAATCCGGTTAATTGAAAAGTGTTTTTGCCTTGGAAACAACACTTACAAAGTTAATTTGACTGTTTATATTTAGATAGTCTTGCAGATAACGCAGTGAAAAATAATAGACGGAGTTTGTAATTAGGGCGATAAAAGATACGATCGGGTCGTACACATTTTTATGAGTAAATATCGAAGACGGTTTTTTTGTTCATTGAAAAATTACACGAGTTTTGCATTTTCCAAGATCGTATCGTATCGTTAATCTTGAAAAATACACGGTTTATTATTACAAAGCACTTGTGTCTAGGCGACGTTTCTCCTGTACAAAATATTTAATTAATTATACTTCCGATTAAATCGTACCTCTTCTTCTAATAATTTTTAAATTGTTTCCCAGAAAATTCTATGTCACTCACAATTCAGTCATAATTTAAGCCAATTTGTTACAAAAAAATTCTATCGTGAAATGTTTTAGAAATAATATACAAGAAGGCGTACATTATTTTTTATAACATGTATGCGGTTTATATTTGATATTCAATTATTAGCCCAAATATAAATGAAAAATTCAATAACATGAAATAATAACATGTATTAGGAATGTAGAGCTCTTTATCTTTACTATCTACCTTAATCTGGGTTAAGAAACACGATGAAACATCCAAAAGCTAAATTGAAAAATTAATCCAAACTATATTGATTTATTTTGATATCGATTTTAGATAAACAGACATTATATTGTTAATATCGCTTAAATCCGAAAGAGAATCCCCTTTGTTAATAATAACGCAATTTATTCTCTGTATTATTTTATCAAATTAAAAGGCTGTAAAAGAAAAACTAGTGAGTAGAAGAAGAAAATCCAAGCAGACGTTCTTCGACTTCATAATATACCAATAAATTTTCAATAAAGCAATTGGTTCATTAACTTTTTGCAAAAATCAGTTAAATACTGAATGATGAAGGGTTAATGGTTAAGGGTGAAGGGTTAAATTCCTTCAAAGGAAAGAAAGTAAATGAATTTTTAAAAAGAAAACAAGAACCAAGCAATAAAAAAACGATTATCTACTTTTGCTCATTCTAAGGACACGCCGTTGTCATGAAATGGGTCTAAGAATTTCTCACATCATTGTAATATGCTTGATGTATCAAAATGTATGATTCCGTCAATGGTAGCGGTCTTAAAATGTTTTGGTTTACAGACTTGAGCATTTAGAGTCAAGTGTATACCATGTCAAAAATTTGGACATCTTGTTTGGATGAACCATGGACAATATTTAACTAAGATAGACCCAATACCTGTCGCAACAGTAACATCAACAACAACAGACACTCACTTGTGGTAATTCTCGAAGAACATCACACACATCAACATGTTATTGAGCACGAACAACTCCGGGGTCTCACTGAGGTCCTTCTTTAAGGTGCTGATGACTTGCTCGTCGAATTTATTTCCAGAGTCCACCTGGATATCGTCGCTAGACCCGTACACGACGTGGTCATCGCTTTGCTCTTGAAAGCGAGGGCGTTTCTGCCTGTTCGGCTTTTTGGAAGTCGCATTGCCCATCTCGAGGTACGTGGGGCTATGCGTTCATCGTCGACTTAGTCTCGGTGTCGAACTGTCGCGGTCGACGCGGAGATTTCCTCATAAATAACGTGAGGATCTTTATCGGACGCGATTTGGTTATCTGGGACGTAGCTGATTGTGAATCAGGTAAGGTGCATGTGGTTGGAGATAGGAAACAGGAAAACTGTTAATAATGATTTCATCCGTTGATTTGGTTTGTAAGAAAAAAGGTGAAATGTTTCCTAAAAGAATTCTAATTTCGATAAACAATTATGTCCTTCATATTGAACGCTCATATTCAATACTGACCAAATCTTAATTATTGTTTTCCACATTTCTCTGGTTTTATAATAACTGAAATGATTTCTTTAGATCATGAGGTAAACTAGACAGTCGAAATGAAGTTTACAAATACAAAGGTTATCTTCCAAAAATTTATAATTATGATGTGTCATTTACCTTGTAAGATTATTTGTGTTGGGCGTGGAGATAGCTAATCAAAGTAATTTCGCGCGATATGAAGACGTTTGGAAGTTTCACGAGTCTAGCATTAGAGATGGGATTTGTAGTTCATTTTAATTAACTTACATGCATCTCTAAAAACTCGAATTTTCAACAAAAGCTATAAACCTTGGATTACAGATGATATTAAGTTGATAAAAATGAAAGATAAGGCTTTAAATAAATTTAAAAAAAACTAGAACTTCACACGACTGGCTAAATTTTAAACATTTAAAAAATGTTACTACTTCTACGATTAGACGTGAAAAAAAAGCTTTTTTATGTTTTTCGGAATCAAGTGCAACTAAGCTTGGAAAAAAATTAATTATTTAAATATTTGTAATAAAAAACTAAATAGAGAAATACCACCTGAATTGTCTAATGCAAATTTAATAAATAATTATTTCGTAAGTTCGGCAGTAGTTAACAATAATACAAATGATCTTCACTATTATGACTGTTAAATCAGACATATCCTCAAAACTTAAATTCAGAGGTACTACTGAATATGAAGTATTTAAGTAAGTATTTACTTAAGGTCAAATCTAAAGCAATTGGTTCTGACGTAATAAATAATAAATAATAATATCTCTACTCCTCATTCTAATTACGAGAATTAGCCCATAAGTCGGAGACTTGTGCGGGAGAGGAGGCGGCATATTATTATTACGCGGGCCGCATTTGCGCCCAGGAACGACTTATGTTGGTAGGCCCTAACCACCATTCAGTGCAGGAATGAGGGAAACCTGGAAAACCTCATTAATTAGGGGGGTGGTCAAATGCCAACCGGTGTCAATCTCTCACATTGACCCAAGCCAACATTCTTCCACCCTACCATACCTGCACAGAAAGTGCCAATCCTCCGTACAAGTATAGCTAATCTACGGTCTATCGGCCGCGGGAATCGAACCCGGGCAGAAATTTGCACACGATTATAGGACTGACGCCTTAACCCGTGCGGCTATCGACCGATACATATAGATTTCATTGTTTCGTGTTGCCTTTTCCTTTTAAAATACATTTGTCATATAATAAATTATTGCTTGGAATTTTCCGTTTATCTCCATGCTTGGAAAATGTCGAATGTTATTCCTCTTCTAAAAAAAAACACACCTGGAGAACTAAAAGATTTAAGACCTATTTCTATTATTCCTGCTTTATCTAAAATTTTAGAGTACCTACATTATAAAAGATCAAATTATGAATCATTTAACTATTAATAACATACTGCCTATTGAGCAGTTTGGTTTTCCAGAGGGACATAGTTGTTCTACTGCTTTATTAAATGTCACAGGCCATATTTTTAGGGCTATAGATTCTGGATTTGTTCGATTTTACTTTTATTCGACTATTCGAAAGCATTTGACATAATTAGTCATGACATTTTGGAAAACATTTTAATGTTTGCTGGTTTTGATATATCTGCAGTACAATTTATTTCTAACTATTTAGTAGGTAGACAACAAAGGGTATTACTTAAAAACGATATTTCGAATTATATTAATACTAACTGTGGAGTGCCTCAAGGATCCGTATTGGGACCTACGTTGTTCTTATTCCCTAATTTTCGAAAGCACTGTAAAATTCAAATGTATGCAGATGATACTCAACTATTCTATTAGTTTCATCCCAATGATATTCAAAATAGCTGTATTATAATTAATAGTGAACTCGAAACACTTCGTCGAATTTCACTGGAGCACTCTTTGCGTTTAAAAATTTATTTTACTTTGCCAGTCTTTGGTTTTATCTGTGTTTAATTACGGTGATACTGTTTATGTTCCATGTTTAGCTCAGGCGACATCTCAACGAATTCAGAAAATTCAGAATTACTGCCTTAGATTTATATATGGCATTAGAAAGAGAATTAGAATCGAGTAAGACACAAGCTAATGAATACAAAATGGTTGGATATGAAAAACACCCGTCTACATCACAGTGCTACTCTCTTCATGACTATCAGTTTAAATAAATCCCCCCAATATTTGTACAATAAAATCAGATTCCGTACTGACGTTCATAATTTAAACACCAGATTTAAAGGTATTTTAACCCCTCCTTCACATAAAATTGCAACATTTGAAAGATTGTTCAGTTACAATATACCAAAAATTTACAACGCCCTACCGTTGCCTCTCAAATCGCTGTCTGTCAGTTGTTTCAAAAAAAATATATAAAGCATTTCTTTTTAATTCTCAATAACTAGTACCTAATTACACTCATATAATTGTTTATATATATATGAATAAAGAATATTATTATTTGAGAAGCCTTGAGCGAAGTATAGAAAATTGTTATACTAATGGCAGCCAGAAACCTCAAATAAGACCTATACGCGAAGATGGGGAGAATCAAAATTTTACCTAAGTTTTGAATTCATAATAAATTAATAATAAACGAGAGTGCTCGGCAAGCACCAACAGCAGCCTTTGAGGAGGGTCCGAAAGGTCAAAATAATAGCGTTGGCCAACAGGTAGTACAACAATTCCTGGCCACCGCGAAAGACCCAGCTTTCATAGTTGTTCACGATACTTTGTACGTCCCATACAGTCAGTATCCACAATACTTGGCCAAAGCAAAAGACAGTTCCAAAGTTGTATAGCAAGGGTTGTATATCAAATACAGTCCGTCGAATTCGGCTTATATTAACATTGAAATTATTTGTATATTTCTTATGATCAGTAAATATTTATGTGTTATTTATTCGGCACCTAACCGGAGGTAGACCTAGGTTTTTTTGTGGTTTGAGAAACTGAAAGAATAATTTGCGGTTTTTTTATGTTATTTTTATAGAACATGGTGCAGGAAAAAGATTAATTTCTGTTAATTTTCTCCCCGAGACAATTTTTTGAAATTTTTTTAATCAGAACTACAGTTAAAGTGAAAAAAGTGTTACTAGCACGACTTCTTACTACAAATCTGATAGACAATGTATATGTAGGTTCGCTGATATGTATGGAAACGGTCGATTATCTCCTAAAGTAAGATAGCTATCGAAAAATCATAAGACACAAACGTTTTAGGGTTTTTAAAAATCTATTACAATAAAGAAATAATAAATATACAAGATCACTAAAAAAATCGTGACGAAACAAAGTTGCTTTTTCTTTAATGGAACACCCTGTATATTATTCCATATTTCAATTCTTCTCGAAATAAAAAAGCATAATAGTTCAGGGTTGATTAAAATGCATGAAACGAAAAAATGTATTTTTTAATTATGTCCTGGAAATTTTAAATTTTATGAAAACAATAGTTATGCCAGAATAAAAAAAGAGAGAAAACAAATTTTAATAAACAACAAATATTTTCTTTGGAATTCTATTTTATAAGGGCTCAAAGTGTTTAGTTCCTAACAGTAATGAATTCGCTGAACAAAATTTTGTATTGGATCTAAAAGGGTGTTGGGAACAGTGGAAATTTCATGGCTTATCCTTTCCTGCAACTCTTCGATATTTTGCGTCCTATTTTTGTAGACTACATTTTTATGTTACCGCACAGAAAAAATCAAGCGAGGTCATATCGGGAGACCTAGCTGACCATTTCCAGAAAAAGCCGATTTTAACTTATGCTTCTACTGAAAATTAAAAATTATAAGGAACCTAGAATTCTATTTTCCCTACATGAAACAAGTATATCTTTTTTATGTAAAAATGGTCAAGGATTTCGATTTTCGAAAAAAAAAATTACGAATTTGATAAATAAAAAAAGTTACGGATTTTGAACCTTGGCTTGTCCCCCATAGGGACGCCCCTGAAAACAATGTGTCAATTTGGTTTAGGTAAAGTAATTCCTGGTAATAAACGGTACCTCGTCTGTATAAAACTTGATCAATTTATTTCGAAGCATTTTTGAGATATTGTAATAAAATTATGTCTTAATGGCCTCCATTAAAGGGGAGTAGCGCCACAAGGGGGCGGTTTCGGACACATGTCGATATGAACTTTTTTGTTTAAAATTACTTTCTCTATCATCTGTGTTCATTTGGCACACCGGAAATGAAACACCCTGTATAGGTAATAAAAATGTAACAATCAACTTTGTGATATGTATGCTACACTTACTTTATTACTTTTAATTTGTTCGAACGTACCGCATCAATTTTCATGTGACTTTATTTATTTCTGCATCACCTGGTAAATGATAATCATTAAAAAAAATTAGGTTTGTGTCACACCTGTCGATGAAAGAATACTTAGTAGGCTGCCCAAAATTTAATGTTAATGAAAAAAGTAACGTAGACTTAAATCGGGGTTTGGTAATGGCGATTCTATCATCATCAAAATCTATTAAATTTTTCAGAAAATATTCACTAAATTATTATTTACACTGTAGCAATATATTATGTTTGGTTTTATGCCTAAAATAATAGCAATGTAACAATATAGAATGGGAATTGTGGTTTATTTTTTACTGTTGTTACGTATTTATTTGTTGTTTGGAAATAATTCAATGTCAGATATAGTATTCTGATGATTTTTTTAATCGGCTTAGCGGTATTTCGGATTAGTACAGTTTATAACAGGAACAATAACAATGTAGATACAGATTATCTGTCTCAGAGAATATAATAAGTCAGAAAAAACATCGTATTCGATTTCATAGCCTTTTATTACTCTTTGGTAATAGGAGATATTATTTATGGTTTGACAAAACAGAGACAAATAAACAAATCTAGTTTCAAATTTTGTTAGTTATCTATTGTGACATATAGAATTACGCAAGTATCTGCCACGTATTTTCCTTGATTAATATCAGGATTACTTGAACCTTCAAATTGATCTACGTTAGTTAGAAAGAATAGTTTACTCATTTGAAAAAAATATGCATTGCGATAAATACACTTATAGAAATGTTATCTATATATTAATAGCTGAAAACCAACTGATACTGTGAATGGAATTTTTGAAATCAGGTTTCGTATAAAAGTGATTTTTATGGAAAATACAACAAATTCAAGGAAGATTAATTAGAGGAAACCTACCTAAAATAATCTTTGACCAAAATTTTTTATAAAAAAAAAGAGATAACGACTCATATAAATTGTAACGAGTGATTTTCTTATCAGATCAATGACAATCCAGATCATTGGAAGACATCTCTTCACCAGAAATAGATCTTAACATTAACTGTCTTATTTTAGGTGGAATCTGTGCAATGGACATTCGACACCATCGACGCCATCACCAGCCAGGGTGAGTTGAAACCCTTAGCTGAATTTTTGGCCAAGAAACAATTCGACTTGGTGATCAATCTGCCCATGAGGAATGGAGGAGCACGGAGGGTATCATCCTTTATGACCCACGGCTATCGCACCAGGAGATTGGCCATTGACTATTCCATTCCATTGGTCACAGATGTTAAATGCGCCAAATTGTTAGTGGAGGTAAGAACGTACCTTTAGTTTGCTAAGTATAGAGAAACGAGCATTTTTCAACCTGTAGGCCTTACGTCTTATTGGGAAAGCTCCAAAAATGAAGACCCACATCGATTGCATGAGTTCCCGCCAATTGAAGAAGCTACCGGGTTTTATAGACACCCACGTCCACGTCAGAGAACCTGGTGCTACCTACAAAGAAGATTACTCTTCCTGCACAGCCGCAGCGTTGGCGGGAGGTGTCACCCTAATCTGTGCCATGCCCAATACAAGTCCTGCTATAGTCGACGAAGAATCCCTAATTTTAGTGAAAAAGCTGGCGAAGGAAAACGCCAGATGCGACTATGCTCTTTTCGTAGGTCAGGAAATACTGTAACATAACGCCAAGAGAGTTCTTAAAAAATTGATTTATTGTAGGTGCCTCCACTGAAAATACTTCCACAATCTCTGATTTCGCCGCCGAAGCCGCAGGTCTGAAGATGTATTTGAACGAAACGTTCACCACGTTGCGATTGAACGACCTGAGTACCTGGAGCAAACACTTGGCCAACTGGCCTAAAAGAACACCAATATGCGTACATGCAGAATGTCAAACCACTGCAGCCATCATCCTCATGGCAAGTTTACAGAACAGGCCCATCCATATCTGTCACGTGGCCAGGAAGGAAGAGATTCTCATTATCAAGGCAGCGAAAGAAAAGGGGTTGAAAGTTACCTGCGAGGTCTGTCCTCATCACTTGTTTTTATCCACGGATGACATTGATACGCTTGGACCAAATAAGAGTCAGGTAAGTAGAAGTACGCACTGTGCTTACGATGTTAGAAGTGATATTTCTTAGGTCCGGCCAGTATTAACTTCTCCGGAAGATCAGCAAGCTCTCTGGGAGAACCTCCACATAATCGATTGTTTCGCTACGGACCACGCGCCTCACACCTTGGATGAAAAATTGAGCGACAAAGCACCACCAGGTTTCCCTGGACTTGAAACAATCCTTCCTTTGCTTTTAAACGCTGTCAACGAAGGCAAACTTACCATGGAAGACATCATCAACAAATTCCACAAGAATCCCAAGAGGATATTCAACTTGCCGGATCAACCAAACACTTACGTCGAAGTAGACATGGATGAAGAGTGGACTATACCGGAAGCCATGCCTTACAGCAAAGCCAAATGGACTCCTTTTGCTGGGAAACAGATTAAGGGATCAATTCATAGGGTGGTGCTACGTGGGGAAGTAGCTTATGTGGAGGGAGAAGTTCTGATGCAACCTGGATTTGGTCAAAATGTCAGAGAATGGGAGAAAAGAATGCCCAACTTACTTATGGAGTTCAGTAGACCACCTTCAGCTCTAGCGTTGGAGAGGCCTATCTCTCCCTCCCCGTTCCTTTTGAATGGTTTTGTAGACAGGATCGAGTACGATAACGACAAACAAACCAACGAGATCTTCTCAAGGCTTCTATCCGTGGACAACAAAGTTCATTTTGCCGATACCGAGGCACGTTCCAGTCCCGTTTTGCCGACGATACCCAGGATTAGAACTGAAAGCTTCTCTACCACAACAGAAAGAAGAGTAAGAACTGAAAGTCAATCCAACGCTGAAACGATCACCCAAGCTCAATCCTCTATACCACATCCACACCACGGATTGGCCCACAAGCACATCCTCAGCGTTGATATGTTCACGAAGGACCAATTGAACGACATCTTCAATCTAGCCCAGACGTTCAGAGTGTACGTGATCAAGGATAGACCCTTGGATCACATTCTGAGGGGAAAGGTGATGGCGTCCATCTTCTACGAAGTGAGCACCAGGACGTGCTGCAGTTTCACGGCAGCGATGCAGAGATTGGGGGGGAGAGTCATCTATATGGACGAGACGAGTTCTTCCGTGAAGAAGGGGGAAACACTAGAGGATTCCGTCGCGGTCATGGCGGGATATGCGGATGTGGTGGTTTTGAGACATCCGACTCCAGGATCAGTTCTGGTAAGTGCAATGCTTAAGAATTGTTAATTACATTTAAATCTGGAGTTTGAGGCGGACGGGCTATTAACAATAATTTTATTGGTATATGCCCGATAATGGTCTTGTTAATAAGTTTTATTTCGGTAGATGCGTTGTTTCTATGAAAATATTTATACCGGATCTAAGAAAATTTCTCTCAGAAACGACATTATCATCAATAAATCTTGATGTATACATCCTTATTTCATTCAGAGCGAGTTATTTCTGTATAATCTTAGATGCATATAGATTAAACTGATAAAAGGGATTGAGACATCCATTGAACAATAAATATCCTGTCATAAAAATCTTATAGAATCTCGCTCGTTGATAAATAAATTCTTTCGTACCAGGAAAAAAAATCTGCTCGCATATTTAATTGCTTCATTATAATCATGCTTTGTAGTTTAAATTTGAATATTTACATAAATAATTTAAGTAGGTATTATAGCCATGGTGATTTCCGTTATATCTTCCATTTGCTTCTACTTGTGTCTCTCATAGGTTTCTGAATGTAAACGTTCACTTGAAATGTATTTCAATTGCAGAATTAGAAGAACCACGATGGGCGTAGATTTGATGAATATTGAATATGGTTAAATTATATTCCTTTTAATTATTTATATCTACGATGTAAAAAAGCCAAACTTGCAGATAATTTTAAGAAGCAATTGGAATACTTAATACTCTTCAAAAAATTTTAAATTTATTAGTGCAACACTTTCGTCTGAATTGGCAAGTAACAAGCATGCAAGGGTAACTTCGGAAGTTAGCGATGTAGTGATTATTTTGAAACTTATGGTTGTATAAGGGCGCCACTATATCTATTCAAACCAGACATAGACCTTTTAGACCCGGCGGGATCTGTTTCAAAACACCCATGTATCGATGTTTTATACAGGGTGTTTCAGTTCGAGTGAATCAAATTTTAACCACAGATAGAACTCGATAAGTAATTAAGAATTGCCTTATAAACCAAGGTTCTATGTCTCACCGTTTTCGCTCTACAGGGCCGTATTGGTCGGTTTTTTACATCATATTATTTATGATATCTCTGGTATGGTTGTAACAATTTGATTCAAATCTGGTATGATGTTAATACTTACGAATGTCTATAATTTACTGCAAAATTTACAAATTTTTTGTAGGTCAGTGGCGTAGAAACGGGTAGGGTAGCGGGATTTTTTTGCCCCAACTTCTACGCCAATGACCTAATACTTATTTGGGGTAAATTTTTAGATTCCTTGGACAATTTGGCATAATACTTGTTTGAAATCGGTAAAGTGTCTCGTTCTGCCGAAAATCTCAATAATGTGGGAGGCCGTTCTTCTGATAAAGCATTTAGTTTCGTAATGATAGCAAATACATTTCAAAGTAATATTACTTTAATATTATGTATTAAATTAAAATGGAACGTTTCATGTAAAAATGTTAACAGCAAACAATGAAATATTCTTTTTCTTATTGCTGTATCTTAGATGCTAATAATAGGTAATAGTTTGTAGGTACGGTTTTTACAATTTTAAGTAATAATACAAAACGGTAAATAACAACATAACAAATAACACTAACATAAAACAATATTAAATAACATGTTCAAAATGACCCCCATTGGCTCTTATACATGCTCTGCATCGCCGAACCAACGACTGATAGACATCAAACATAATCCCTTCTGTATTATTTATTGCATCTGCAGCATCGTGGATTCTTTCTCTGAGATCATTTTCATCTTGCGCGACAGTGCGGTAAACAAGCTGTTTTATATGACCCCATACAAAAAAATCAATTGGATTAAGGTCTGGGGATCGCGGTGGCCAATGTATTGGTCCTCTATTTCCTATCCACCTATGTCCATAGTTTTCCGTTAACCATGCACTAACATCTCTTGCATTGTGCGGAGGTGCACCATCCTGTTGGAAATAAACGTATTGTCTTTCATTTAATGGCACCTCGTCTAGAATTTCATGTGTGGAATTCTGTAGCAATTCTAAATATCTTTGCCCATTCAGTATACCATTTATTTCAAAAAGAAATAATTTGTTTCGAAAAATTACTCCCCACATATTAATCTTAAATCTGCGCTGAAAGGCCCTTCTTCTTGTTAAATGGGGATTTTGTAATGACCATTGATGTAAGTTTCTAAAATTATTCAGTCCATTTTTAGGAAAAAGGCTTTCATCGCTCCAAATAATATTTTGTAAAAAGAGTGGATCTTCCGTCAAATTTTGGAGGATCCAGTTGCAAAATTGTAATCGTTGAAGGTTGTCACCTTCTTGTAAATGTTGCACTTGCTGGTAATGATATGGATGTAGCAGCTCTTGATGAAGGACCCTCCATACAGATACGTGGGGTATCTGTAATTCGCGTCCGATTTGTCTCACACTCAATTCAGGAGTATCAACTACCCGTTCGATAATATTTTCCTCGTACTGTTGAATATTACGATATCCTCTACCTTCTTGATTTTTTCTTACTTGCACAGAACCTGTTTGTCGCAGTCTTCTAAAGGTTCTTATAAATACGCCAAAAGAGGGATGACGCCGACGATTTGGAAACATTCTCCGATATTCTCTTTCTGCTTCTCGAGCACGACCATGACAATATCCGTACACAAAAATCATATCAGCGTATTCTTCACTTGAATATTCATCCATATTTTGACAAATGGTAAGTACTGTTGCAAATCTTTATAATTAAATAACAATTCCTGATGACAGATAATGTCATTATTGTTATGTTTTGCATAGCAATCTTTGTGAATACATACTCCCAAAGCGCAGACTTACAATATGAGC